TAATATACCCAGACAGCGGCTAATCTAGGCTGAACAACGTAGACTAGAGCGTTAACCCGCGAATTTTCTGGTTTGTCGAGGAATTCCAATTAAATAGGATCTGAAGGCAAACTCTTTGACGGGCATGGAAAAGGCCAGGCCTATAACGGGTTAGTTAATGCAGACAACTTATGGCGTGTTCCAATTTCATCACCTCGAAACATTACACTATAAGATAAATATCTATAATACGCTATAATACGTCAGAATCCTATAAATTGTCTATTAAACACGGAAGACTTATTTACAGCAGTTTTTGTTAACTTTGTTAGCAGAAACTACAGACCAGTCCCACGTAAAATCGGGCCCGTTCACTAGAAACCACACAAATGAATTTAGGACAAAGACACTCGTTAGAAACTTTATAAAGATGTTGAAAGTGGTGTCCTCGCTCATCTATGCACCTCTGTGTACGCTTAATCGAGTTAAAACTGACTTAAAATATCCACGTCGATAGTCCATATACTTTTGTCAATATATTCCTTCGTTTAGCGTAGGACTTATAGTTCTGTCTTGTAACCTTTTCTTTTAAATATCTCCTACAAAATTAACATCATTAATATTTCATCTCAGTCGGCCGATTTTAAGTGAGACACTGTAAAATAAAACTCTTTTACTTAAAAACGATTAACTGACTTTTGGGTCGCAATGTATTTTATTCATGAGAATTTTTGAAAATCTTTTAAATAATATTATCTTAAAAACTATTTTCCTTTGGCATTTAAATAATTACATTCTTATACCCTATGTTATAGTTTTCATAAATTCAATGCAAACTTCATTTCAAGGATCCTTAATCAATATTTTACATCGATATTTATCATACGACAAATATAAATTTAGAATGTTATTGAAATGTGAAAGGTGAATCTAAAATGATCACAACTGAGGAAAAATTACACCGATTTTCTTTATATATAAATTTTAGAAAACAATTTTTAAATTTCTAGTGAACGTTCCATGTTTTATAAAAAGTTTTTTTAATAAAATTTTTCTAGAAATTATAGAAATTACAGGATTAAAAAGTATTAAGTTGTATTCTTGCCGAGAATACGACTTAATTCGGAAGGTAATTTAGCGTAGCCGATCTCTCCAATTAACTGTACACAGATGTTTCCAAAACACATCTGTTTGATATTGCTAATGTGTGAAATGTGTGCAAAAAACTAAGTACCCCACGTTTGTGTCAGTATAAAAACATTTCACCGACATACCAACGTACTGTACAACTTCGTCTTTGATATAGTCAAGCATCTTAAACGCTTGATATTCTAAAAAATACAGAATCTGAAAAAGTTTAGGTGTTAAAAAAAACAAATGTTTCTATCAGAATAATTTCTCGACAATCGGCGATTAAAACCAGTGAATTAAATATATATTTTTGGCACGAATTTTCTGTTTATTTCCGAATGTTCTTAGAGGAAAGTAAAAAATGAATTTAAGATATGACAGCTCTGAAATATGAGAAAAAATTTTGGAAAAAAGTCCCCGTTGAATGCGCTATCAAAATATTGCCAAGTGTATAAACACTTATATAACATTTTTATGAAAAGAAGAAAGGAAGAAAAACAGATAACGACGATAGTAAAAGCGTTGAAATTTAAAATTAAAGAGAATACAAAAATGTCTTTGTATTTTATTTTATTTAAATTTACTGGTCTTTGTTTCTAGCGTGTTCGCAGAATGTATACGTAAAAAATTAACGAACTAATTCTTCTAGTCTTTCTACAGACACTACAAGATGGTTGAAACAAAACACAAATCGATCTTTTATCAAAACCTATGACGTCGCTCAAATAATATAAAAATGTCTTCCTCTTCGATTTAAATACAATAAAATTTCGGTAATCTGGCACTAGTGGATTCGAGTATTACTGGTAAAACTGACAAGTCGTATAAGTTTCCCACTAATTCAAACTCTAGTTTCCACTAAACGTGACACGATATCGACCTCCAGCTTAAATAATCGAGCTTGGACTCAACATTACAGATTGTTAGGCTCGTCATCTTACGAGGGTAGTCCCAGAAGTACCCGACCTAACAAAGAAGACACAAAAAATTTGGTAAAGCATATCTTTATTTTTCAACATAGTCTCCTTTTAGCTCGATACACTTTTTCCAGCAATGTACAATAGCTTCGATCCCCTGTTTATAGTGAGAACAGTCGAGCTTCTCAAAATAGCCATCAACCTCAGACTCCACCTCTTCATTATTGGCAAATCTTTTATCACCAAGCCATTTTTTTAAGTTTGGAAAGAGAAAATAATCCGAGGGGGCTAAATCTGGCGAATAGGGTGCGTGAGGAAGCAATTTGAACCTTAACTCATTGATTTTGGCCATCGCAATAACGGATGTGTGAACTGGTGCGTTGTCTTGATGAAACAACACTTTCTTTTTCGCCAAATGTGGCCGTTTTTTCTTGATTTCATCACTCAAGCGCTGCAATAAGTTCGCATAATACTTGCCGTTGATTGTTTTTCCTGGGCGCATCCCAAAAAACTGACGCCATGACCTTGCCAGCAGATGGAACTGTTTTCGCCTTCTTTGGAGCTGATTCTCCCCTTTCAGTCCATTGTTTCGACTGTTCTTTCGTCTCAGGTGTGAAGTGATGGACCCATGTTTCATCCATGGTTATGAATCGACGCAAAAACTCGGCTTTGTTGCTGCGAAACATTGCCAAAGACTCGATTGAAACATCCTCACGACGCTGTTTTTGTCCCATTGTGAGCAAACGCGGCACCCATCTTGCGCACAGCTTTCTCATGTCCAAATTTTCAGTTAAAATGCGATGTACAGCACTTTTTGAAATGCCTACCATGTCTGCTAGCTCTCGCACTTTGAGTTGACTGTCATCCAATACCATTTTGTGGATTTTTTCCACCATTTCTGGCATGGTCACCTCACTTGGTCGACCACTACGATGTTCGTCTTGGCAGCTCGTACGGCCTCGTTTAAACTCTGCCACCCAATATTTTATTGTTGTAAACGAGGGAGCAGACTCCCCCAGAGTAGAATCTAGCTCAGCTTTAATATTGGTTGGACTGAAACCTTTCAAATGAAAGTATTGTATCACATAACGATGACAAATTTTTTCAATGTTTACAAATTCACTGAGATTGTTCACTATTTATGGCTGCCAAAAAATACTATACAACGTAACGTCTTCAAACTTCAAACTTAAGCTTTATAAGGTTAATACTTTCGAACACAGTCATTTTTTTTCAAACAAGTACCGCCATCTATGTCAGGTCGGGTACTTCTGGGACGACCCTCGTAGGCTGCTCGATAATGTACAGTATTCTATAACAAAATACTGTAATGTACAAACAAAATTTGGTCCCTCGAAATTTCCCAACGAAAATATTGTAATTCCCACTAAATTTCTCAGAGTCGGCACTTTAATTTTTTACTAAATTTAGTGGAAATCCACCAATTTGGCAACACGGACTACCGGCGACGGCGGCACGCTCGGTTGTTTCCATCAGTGGTGTCTAACTTACGTTTTGCCACATCATTATCCTTAGCCGACGAATTTGGTAGACTCTGCGCTATCAAATTCGTTTGTGTGGCATCGAATTCGCCTTACTTCGAACGATCCGGCAATCTCCTTCATCCGACTTTGTTTTGGTCTCGTATATGTCGGATTACCGAGACTGTACTGTACTTTTTATTAAATCACATATCCCGGAATAATATTATATTTTCTCGTTTTCGAGAATTTAAAAGAAAAACATTTTTATAAAGAAAAAAACATTTTTAATTATCAAAACGTAAATAGATTATATAAGTGATATTCATTGACTTTATTAATTGGACAGATTAGCCTAAGTAATATTACATTCGCTTGGATGTATGGAGTTGGTTGTAAATAAAATTTAACGTGTAAACACATTTAATCTACATAATTATAATTAACTATTTTTGTATCGATGCCACTAAGATTCTATTACGATGCCAGATTATCCATTAAGGAAATCACAACAAGAATAAACCTTTATCCGATGCTTATGTACACGTCGATCTTTCCAAATTAGTTATTAGAAAGATTATCCGAAGGACGAATGACGTATCGCGTGTAAAAATCAAATTCCGACCCCCTAAAAACTTGACTCGTTCCATAAGTTGGACAGTTCTAGAAATGGAGCGCGCCGTTCTAGATATAAATCACGATTTAGATTTGTCCTACTAAATCATTACTCTGATATACGTAACAATGGTCAATTGTGATGGATTGGTCGTCTACAGACGAAGAATCAATATAATAGAAAATGAACTAATCTATGTTTTGAGAAACCTTCGTCCCATCTTCCACTTCTCGTTCTGTCCTAATATTGTAATAATCTAGATACTAGAATAATTCAATATAGACTATATGATATAACGATTGTTTATATTAAGGCAATAACAGAATCAACAATAATTTAAAGGTTTTTCAGATTACAAAACGAAAATTAGAAGAAATAAGTTAAAAAAAATAGGCTGACATTATCAGTATTTAATAATATAATTATATTTTTTTAATTATATTCACGTATTGGTTTCACATATATCCATAAAAAATTTTGTGTGTCGTATGCAAATTAAAAAAATTCTTCTTTAGATTATTATAAAAAGATAAACTGTTTGAAACTTTAAATAATTAATAACAATTATATTTAAGAAATTTTCAACAAACGGATGGTAAGAACAGAAACTATAAACGGAACTTTGTTCAAAACTAAGATTTAATTAAATAATTTAGAAAACTTTCTAATTTTCAATACTTACTTTGAATCATTATTAAAGATTAAACTGTTAAAACTTAAAAAAATCAAAATAAAAATTAAGCCAAACTTTTTAGAAGAATATTTTTGATTTACCTTCAAAAGGAAGAATTAATTTGATCGTAACTTTTTTTGAAGAGTTAAATTATTTTTAACTTAAACGTAACTTAGACATAGACCTTTTTAAAAGAAATGTACCGGAATTTATTTGTTGGGGCATGAAATGCCCGACAGCCAAATTGTCGTAGCCGCTTCTATATAAGGAATTAGAACGTGGCGTAGAGTCTGCCGATTCCAAACGTCCCGAATCCGATCTGCACTTCTCTAAACGTTGAATCAGTCCGAGAGAATAGTTGGAAGGAATACCGATATCCGGACATTTCTTGCACGATTGATGGTTCGATGACGTTAGCGAACAGAAATTTCCCTGCATCTGCTGCGGAGTTTTGTTACATTCTTGACTTCCGACGGTTTCTTGATTCAGATATTCGAGATTTTTGGTGGAGAATCGCCTTTCCGACATTCTGCAAAGAAAACATTTTATATCCGCAATTAATTCACATAGAATATTAAAGTTTTCTATATAATTTAGATAATGTATTCATTAAGAAGTGTAAATTTTAAGTCAAAAATTATATCGCTAAACAAAACAATTGATAACCGATAAGAGAGGGAACAGAAAGAGAAAAGAGAGAGGAAGAATTCACAATATTTCAAAATAAAACTTAAAAATTAGATACAAACAATATGATGCTTTGACGAGAGTCAGTGTGTGTTAAATATTTAGTATTCAAAACGGTGAAATCTTGTTAAAATACTATTATTCTCTTCTATTTTCAAAGAAGAATGGTATTAGAGCCAGAGATAATAGAAATGAGAATTGAAACTACATTTTCTCTCTCACGTTATAAGAATATTTTATAAATGGTTGAAATATTTTAAATTTAGTCCACGTGTAAATAAGATTAAAATAAGTTTTTAATGTTTGTACTGTACATTTATTCAGAAAATGAATAAACATATTTCTGTCTGAAATATTCCCTAAGTAATCAAAATACTCTAGAATTAATTCTGCAAATAATGACAAATTTGATTAGCTTTTCATTCATTTCCCGTGTACTTTCTGTTAGAAATTTTCCTTCCTCATTCTTAATCTACTTAATAGTTTATCCATTAATTATTTTTATTCCATCGTTAACAGCTTATATTATTCATCAAATTTTCTACTTATCCATCATTATTTATTAGTTTAATTGCTATCCGTCCGAGATCAAGAGAACTGTGGACTGATAACGTAAGGAGTATATATACAATAGCGGAAATTTAACGAAGAGGTGCCAGTAAATTAAATATTTGGAAGCGAGTAAGTCATTCCGGCGATCCTATATAAGTAGGAATAACCAAATATTTAATGAATGTAACTCTTACATGTCCAGTATCGCATATATTTTACACTAGAGGAGATACAAAAGCGAATGTCCTTCCTATTATAAAACTAGATACGATGCGTAGACAGAGTACGAGCCTAATAAAGGAAATTTATGAAAAAACGAGTAATAGAGAGACAGAGATTGAGATGGCAAGATAAAATAAGAACTGACGCGATAGAAAAGGGATTGATAGATGAAGATGTAAGAGACAGAGAGAAATAAAGATAACACATCAAAGCAACCGATCCCTAAACTTTGGTTTAAGACAGGAACGAAGAAGAGAGGGATAAAGGAAAGAAGAATGCATTACTATAATAAATATATATTCTATATAAACTCGTAAATAATCCCAATATATTCTGTAGACAAAGTAGATTAATTATCTTTTCATTAATTTCGGCGTACTTTATGTTTGTTAAAAGAAATTTTTCTTCTTAATCAAAGTAAGTCTTATCTACGAAAAAAATTTATACGCGCAAACCGAATTTACGACGGCGACATTTATATAGGCCATTGTATATCATTATAATATATAGCATAAATATTATAAACTAGAGGGTAGAAAAAATAAGGTCGATCGAAGATATAATGAAGAGAAAATATTGTGAAGAACACGAACAGAAGAGGAGTAAAATAAGAATGTAATGAATAGAGAGGAATGATTGCCGAGATTTAATTATTTTTTTTTAATTGAAGAGGTTGAAGGATCTTCGATTGCTAACCTCTCAATATAAGGGACTGACAGTCGAAGACTCTTGAGTATATACAAGTATTGTGTCTCCTTAACTATCACTTTGGTTTTATTCTATTTGACGCTGACGAAACTTTTTAGTTTTATATATAGAGTAAGTTATAAGTATATAACTTTTTGCGGAATTTCCATTATGAGTTAAATACGCATTCGAAGATTTTAAATATTTACGTTTATTTTGATAAATATTTATTAGTTCTGTTTGGTAATAGCACAAATACGATTCCTGTGTTGGATATTTTGTTATATAGTAACTTATATCTGTTCCGCAGCATAGCAAGGAAACTGATGGAATTCTCTTAATTAGAAAGTATTCCATTCGCACTCCGTAGTATTCTTATAATTTAATAAATAAATAAATATTTGCGATCCGTGAATCTCAAAGTATTGTCTTCTCCTGTTTCATACAAAAATGTTTAAGATTTGACGAAAACTCCAGTGATGCACTAACATATCTTTTCTTGTATGTTAGTGATAGAGTCCATTGTTTTCAATTTCTCGCTGTTCTTTCGTACTTTCGGAACTGCCATTGTAATTCAAACAATAATAATATTAAATGATACAAGTTTCTACAATTTTTACTATTAAATAAATTAATTGTGAAGGCAAGAAAGAAAGAATAGAAAAATCAATAATTCTTTATTAAATTTATTATATTGTAAAAAATATAATTTAGAACACTCAAAACGGGAAATAACGACTGAAGTAGAAAAATTATTTAACTATTTCTATTTTTTCCATTATTTAGAAAATATGTGGCAGTAGAAAATGTGTATTTATATTCAATCGATTATTGTAAAATGCTTTCGTATTCGCTAATTAATGTCATCTCGAGAACGATTGGATGATTGATATTCTCTCGCAGATACGATAACATCGGATCGAGGAAATACCAAGCTGGATATAGAGACGTTGCCAATATTTTTCGACATATTGGATGATCGAAGAGTTATTGCGCGTCTATCTACATTACAAACGATGCAACATGATCACTTTTACATCACTTTTTATACTAAACATATAGTCAAACCTCGATATAGCGCCATCCTCGTAATGCTCCAGCAGATCTTTCCCGTAAATAGTAAATAGAGACCTCTTCGGTATCTATGAATTATTAAGCCTCCGATTTGCATCGCAAACGACGTTGTCACCGACTCGTTTGACTTTCGAGCACGCAAACACGAAATTGTGTGTCGACTCGGTCACTACGTGTAACTCTTATTGTTCGAGGTACTTCAGTTTCTTACCACACTCAGTCGAGTGCCAATTTCAGAAAAGAAGAAATGATAGCACTAAATCGAAGTGCCAAGACTACAAATTTTTAGATCTCGATTTAAGCAGTGTCTTTTTTGCTCCTGTACATAATACAGTAGTTTTCCCGTTAACGAAACAATCATGCCGATCATCTATCTAACTCAGAGATTGAAGAACAGACAACAGACGGACGCCAGTGGAAATTTATAGGTCCGATATTTTAAAATTGCAGCCCAATTAATCAACTGCAAAGATCGTGTGATGAAATATAAGCATTTCGATCTACTGTTAACTTCACAAAACCGTCTTTACAAATATCTTAGCCATTTTTAAAGGTCAATTCGGCGAAACAAACACAGAATTGATGTAAATTAAAATTGAAAATCAGAACCTAATCTGATTCTCAAGTTCACATAAACGAATATTTTAGTAAATTTATAAGTAAAAAATCTAATTTAAATTCTATGAAATGATACAAAATCCCTAAATATTACAACTTTTACTAGTTTATTCTTAACATTTTAGAGCTCGTAAAGTAAAAGAGAAAAATGATTTTCAATACTTACTATTAAAAGCTGCAGTTAAGAGCTTTAGTCTATGGCTTCTTAGGTTTAGTTCATTAGAATACTTCATCGTTCGTTCAATTTCATTTTATGTGAATACTTCATACGACAACTCTATACAAGATGCAGAGTTGTAGAATAAAATATTCATAGAATTTCTTATAGAAATTAAATAAATTACGGTTAAAAATAGAGATTCGAAATGGAATTTATATGATTTTGTGATTAAACACATTACAATGAAAGCCTATCCATCTTTTACTTATCAGATCGTGTTCAATAAATGACGCACGAAAATATGCACCAAATAAGAACAGAGATTTATATCGATAGCCTTTAATCCTGTAAGTTAAATAAATATGAATTGGTGGACGATTATGGAGGCATACTATGGAACCACTCAGATAGCATCTTGGAAAAAGTATTTAAAGAGAAGAGGAAGATCATATGCCAAAATGAGAATAAATATAGATTCCGATGCTTTTAGCTTCTCTAATCTGGTATGAACTATTACAAGAATTGGTCATCCTTCTCGATGGACAACTGAAATTTTTGTACAGATGACATAATTCGAGCCTTCCGGGAATAAAATGCTTTTTAAATACCTTTACATAAATCTATGGAAAACATATTTATAAGATTATATTTTAAATAAATCCTTCAAATTAGTTCATATTTGATAATATATATATATAGATCAAAGTTTTCTTTAAACTTCATTTCTTTTCTTTAGGTATACACAGAGTGGTCCAAAGATCTGTTAACTATTTAAAGCCGCCTAACTTTCTGTCGTATTTAAATACTTACAGACTTGTAGGCAGCAAAACTCCATTTACTAAAGTAAATTCTAATCTCAATTTGCGATTCGTATTCAAAAGTATACTGAAAAACACGAACAAAACATAGTTAACTGACTTACGGGTCACCCTGTAGGCCAAATAACTATTGATTTCAATATATTTCTAAGTAACTATAAATTTTTCTATAAAGAATATGTTTGTTTACAAATAGTAGCGATTATAAGTCGAGGATATGAGTCATATACTCAACTTACGTACTCCATTACTTATTCTAGGAATCACGATGAATTATTTAGGTTAACAATGTTTTCAAACAAAATACAAATAGAAATATTTAACATTGAAAAATTCTTATATTTAACTACTATATTTTTTACCTTATTTAATTAAAATTGCATTTAATAGTAATAAAATTCCCTTCGGAAGTTTCCTTCTGGTGTATAAACAAAGACGATTTAATATTTTGTATCGAATAATTTGTATTTAGTTTAAGAGTAATTAAAAAATCAGTGAAATTAATAGAATAAATAGCGAATAAAATCGACAAACTGCGTTTTCTAATTATCCATATACGAATATAGAAACATATGGCTTATATTCGTACATTTAAGTATGGCAAATGAGGTTTGCTTTCTCTACTAAATGTTTTTGCTAGTCATGTTTATTTTGAGGACAGTCGTCAGCTGTGCAGCTTTCTTTGTGAGGGCGGAGATAGAAAACAACTGCGCTCCCTAACCATCGATTTACTCGTTACCGACCCGACACGTTCCGTTTATCTAATCCGGTTTAAGCTTAAATCACGTGTTTACCATTTCCATGTAGTTTACCGCGAAAGTTTCACTTTCTTCCGGATATTTTTCCATCATAAACGAAATCAGATGGCGCTACATACTTCGTTTAGGAATGTGCTGAACGCATTGCATTTGGGAAGTAGGCTACCAAGTGTTTTCCATAAATCCCTAATTTACAATCGAAGAGAAACGAGAAAACAATGCTTCGAAATTACGACACTTTTCTAAATAAATCGAATTCGTTTTATACTAAGGAAGAAGTTGTATTGTGTTGTTTAAAGGACACATGGACGGATGCCGATGCGTTTGGTTTTAGGCAGCTTTCGAGTGGCGTTAATTTACTCACCTTTCCGAATCACGTGATTCTCTTGGCCGGCGACGAATAGCCTTAGACTAAGATACCTTGTTCGAGCACATGTCCATTTAGTCGATTGTTTGGCGACTCGAGTACCGAGCGCACAGCCGACTGAAACTCCTATCATGTTTTAAAATTAACCAGAACATGCTTGGCACCCTTTCAGCTACGACAAGAAGGCAACGTCAGTTTCCCGACCGGGACACGGTGCAGAATGGGTTGAACCAGGTGTAAATTAGGATTTGCACAGTTTAGAAGTGGTGACTTACGCGCCGATGAAAATAAACCTATCCCCATGAGTATCATTTGTCAAGCACTTGTCACCATTTGACAATTAACATTAGCGAAGAAAGAATGAAATAATTTACTCTCGGCCTTCCTCTTCTTAATCGATTAATTATTATTATTATTAGAATTCCATTCTAAATATAGAAAGAAGATTTCCATCGCCAGGAGAAAATATTTTAATACAACTTTTAAGCTAACATAAAAAGAAAACTAAAAATTAGTTGGCTTACGTACAATTCGGGCGATATTTTAGCGTGGCACTTGCGCGTTTAGCACAAAATTTCTGTTCGAGAACGAATTCATCGGCTAAATATATGATTACAAAGGCGTTCGAATGGTAAAAATGTATTCGATTTATCGGCAGGTAAAATAATATCGATAGAACCTTCGAACCAATAGAGTAGAGGATCCATCGATACATCCGCTCGGCATCGACAATTTACGCTAAGATACATTGGCGATGCTGACTTTTAATAAACAAATTCGAGTAATAGACCCTATATGAAAATAATAAAACGTTAGATAATGACACAATAATAAATGAGCTACTAAAAATAGTTAAGCAACACTTAGAGAAAACATTGCTACCTTCTTAACGAGATATACACAAGGAACGTTTACTTAAGTAAAATCACGAAGCTAAAGAAATAAAAGTTACAATTGAAATGGATAAACTTTGGATGATGGCATAATTACCACGTCATTCAATAAACTGTTTGATTACCCACTGATATACTAGGGTTTCTCAAACGGTATCCCGGGATCCCGGCTATTTTTTAACCCGGGAAATCACGCAAATTTCTTAAAAATTCAGTTTTTTCTTATTTTGTGTCAAAATTGTGGAAATTTTGCAAATAGAAAGTATAGGGGAGACCGGGGCAACTTCGGCATGCGGGGTAAGTTTGTCAAGCGCTTTTTTTTAAAAACAAATTAAAAGGAGACTTTGGTTATAGATTAGGCCAGTGGTTCCCAACCTTTTTTCATTAGCGTACCCCGTGACATGTCATATCTCTAGATTGTACCCCTCATTTAAGAAATTTAGTGAGTAATCGTATTGTTAATTTTACATATTGTAACTTTANTAAAATACCGTTTAAGAAAAACTAAGAAATTAGTAGAGTTAAGATTGTGTGTGAGGTCATCTTCTAAGAGATTTTATTAAAAATAACTTTTATATTATTAATTATTATTAAAAAAAAGTAAAAAAAGACTTAATTTTAAGATTAGAGAATAAGATTTAAAAATTTTTTATTCGTTATTTGTTTAATGAGGACTTTTTTGTCGAGGTTGTATTTAAATGTTTTAATTAGTGATTTATCTTTCGTCCTAATCTTTTTCTTTTAAAGGTAAATTATTTGATATTTTTCTTAGAATTAATCAGAATGGAAAGTGGTCATCATTACCTTGAACTTAGATCCAATAGAAATTTAGAGCATAAAATAATTTATAACTGATTATACCTTATGCCGCTTAAAGGTGAACTTACCAGAATAATCGCCATCCATACGCCCATTCATAATAAACAAATTCTATTTTTCAGTTAAATTTAATAACTTTCTACCTGTATTATTTATTACTAAGTCGCTACTATATCGACGAACAGCTGAATTGTCACCGTAATACTGTAACTCGCATTCGATTCCAATTCTAGCATTAAAATCGCTAAGTATTAACATTAAGCAAAGAGTAGGATCTGGAACCAAGTCTACAAAACTTTTTTCCTTCTCTAAATAGACATTGAATTGTTTCATACAATGGAATATACGCCAATATTATTGGAAAGTAATAACTTTTCAAATTACTATATACGTTTTCATCTAGTTTAATTAGAATAAAGATCAAAATTGAATTTCGAAAGGGATACACTATCTTATCAAAAGATTTTCCAACTAACAATAACACCACCTTTTGGTCTTCCTACTCCCATTTTCTTAGCTGAAACCAAGACAAAGTTAAGTGATTTCCGCAAATATTCTTACTCTTTAACTGATAATTTTACAATTCAAGTCTTCGTTAAATTTATAATGTTAAAACCTTTTAACATTTTTCCAAAGTAGTTTGAAAAAAATTTCTATTTTGAGCTCTGAATATTTGATTTTTTCCAACTAAGAATACTAACCATCGTTTAATATCAAATTACTATAATGAAATCCAAATCTACGACTAAAAACATCTTGCAGACACTCTTTAGTAACGTTATAGGTGATTTTCTTTTTTTTGATAAACCAAATAATCATAATAAAATTTGTTTAAGTTAAACTTCCTCGTTGCTTGAACATAAGGAAAAATTTTCGTCGACGATCACGTGATTCTTGAATAAGCTCGTAACTAATTAGCCTATTTCAATAGAATGCCCAATAGTTATATTTTTTAAATGAATAAAAACCCGATAGGATATGATTATTCCTGCGAATAAAGCTAAATTCTATTCGTAACACTGTAGGCTCGCCTTTTTTTTATAGTTTGTATGTTAATAATTTCTTCGTCCACTACTTTCATAATTTTTAGAGAATCCTTTATGTATTCTACCAATCTTTCGTTAACAACATAAAAAAAGTTATACAGTATATCATCAGTCTGCTTTGATTTATGTTTAGTATGTTATTGGTATTATATTGTTGCAATTCCCATTTTCTATATATATCTTGTATTTCTTTCTCCAACTTTCTCACCTTTTTTCTAATGATCCAAATCGATTGTCAAATTCTTTAAACCGTTGTTACAGTGTAACTATGTCCGTTTTTAATCCTTGTGTTGGTTCAACAATTGAAACGTATGAAGCCTAAATTAATTATATCATCCGTTGAAAGATTTCCGAAGGAGAGTTACCCTCCTTCTTCTAAAAGACAAACACAAAATTCCCAATTTTTTTCAAGATTTTCCTCTTTATCTATTTACTTCTTTTACTTCCGGATTTTTGTTTGTCTTATTCGACTCCATACTACCAATTATACCATAATAGGTATAATTACCAACAAGTAAAATCGAAACAACCAAATCTTCATAACAGAACTCATCCTATTCCAATTCTACCTAACAAGACACTCTTTCACGTTAACACCACCGAATGCAAGAACGTTCATTCAGCTTTCCAATACAGAAAAGTGGATATTCTGTAAGGTGATGCGAACAAATCCGAAAAATTTTATACTTCCTTCTCTTTTCTCCAAGTTGATGTGTGAATTTAAAGATTAGGAAAGAATCGACTCCACTATGGATCTTCTGGTCGATCGCAGAATCGTTTTGTAACACGGAAAATGTTCAGGTAATTTTAACGAGTTTTCTTGTACAGGGAGGAGACACAATGAAAGTCCAAGAAGAAGAGGATAAAGATAATCCTAGTACACTTTCTATGTTTCGTTTTTAAACTTTTTGAATAAAATTGTTAAAAAAGAGTAAAATGAAATCTTTTTCGAAATGTAATCGTGGAATTTTAACATATGAGAAAAAATATAAAGACAAATTTTTCCTGGGAGAGAATGNAAAATGAAAAGTAATTATATCATACGATTTTAAGATTTATTCTATATCTTAAAAATAATTAATTATATCCCGGGAAACAGTTCAATTTTTTCCCGGAATCCCGGGACAAGCAAAAAGACTGAAAAATGAGAAACCCTATGATATACCAACTTCTTTCCCGTTGAAACATTATCAATATCACAGATGATAAAGTTAAACGAATACGGGCTAATGGATTCCCTTGCAAAAGTCTATAACAAATATCAAACCGTTGTAAACTTAACTTTCCACGTTTTATTTTATATGGTAACGAACAAATAAACGTGTGATAACACTTAAAAGTTTGTTGTCAGCCTTTCTTTTTTCACGCAACTTGTCTATAGATATAAAATCGAACGCTTTCGCCAAATTTAAAACATCCAGCAAAGAGTTGCATAACTTTCCAGGCGTAAAATACCGTTTAAGAAAAACTAAGAAATTAGTAGAGTTAAGATTGTGTGTGAGCTCATCTTCTAAGAGATTTTATTAAAAATAACTTTTATATTATTAATTATTATTAAAAAAAAGTAAAAAAAGACTTAATTTTAAGATTAGAGAATAAGATTTAAAAATTTTTTATTCGTTATTTGTTTAATGAGGACTTTTTTGTCGAGGTTGTATTTAAATGTTTTAATTAGTGATTTATCTTTCGTCCTAATCTTTTTCTTTTAAAGGTAAATTATTTGATATTTTTCTTAGAATTAATCAGAATGGAAAGTGGTCATCATTACCTTGAACTTAGATCCAATAGAAATTTAGAGCATAAAATAATTTATAACTGATTATACCTTATGCCGCTTAAAGGTGAACTTACCAGAATAATCGCCATCCATACGCCCATTCATAATAAACAAATTCTATTTTTCAGTTAAATTTAATAACTTTCTACCTGTATTATTTATTACTAAGTCGCTACTATATCGACGAACAGCTGAATTGTCGCCGTAATACTGTAACTCGCATTCGATTCCAATTCTAGCATTAAAATCGCTAAGTATTAACATTAAGCAAAGAGTAGGATCTGGAACCAAGTCTACAAAACTTTTTTCCTTCTCTAAATAGACATTGAATTGTTTCATACAATGGAATATACGCCAATATTATTGGAAAGTAATAACTTTTCAAATTACTATATACGTTTTCATCTAGTTTAATTAGAATAAAGATCAAAATTGAATTTCGAAAGGGATACACTATCTTATCAAAAGATTTTCGAACTAACAATAACACCACCTTTTGGTCTTCCTACTCCCATTTTCTTAGCTGAAACCAAGACAAAGTTAAGTGATTTCCGCAAATATTCTTACTCTTTAACTGATAATTTTACAATTCAAGTCTTCGTTAAATTTATAATGTTAAAACCTTTTAACATTTTTCCAAAGTAGTTTGAAAAAAATTTCTATTTTGAGCTCTGAATATTTGATTTTTTCCAACTAAGAATACTAACCATCGTTTAATATCAAATTACTATAATGAAATCCAAATCTACGACTAAAAACATCTTGCAGACACTCTTTAGTAACGTTATAGGTGATTTTCTTTTTTTTGATAAACCAAATAATCATAATAAAATTTGTTTAAGTTAAACTTCCTCGTTGCTTGAACATAAGGAAAAATTTTCGTCGACGATCACGTGATTCTTGAATAAGCTCGTAACTAATTAGCCTATTTCAATAGAATGCCCAATAGTTATATTTTTTAAATGAATAAAAACCCGATAGGATATGATTATTCCTGCGAATAAAGCTAAATTCTATTCGTAACACTGTAGGCTCGCCTTTTTTTTATAGTTTGTATGTTAATAATTTCTTCGTCCACTACTTTCATAATTTTTAGAGAATCCTTTATGTATTCTACCAATCTTTCGTTAACAACATAAAAAAAGTTATACAGTATATCATCAGTCTGCTTTGATTTATGTTTAGTATGTTATTGGTATTATATTGTTGCAATTCCCATTTTCTATATATATCTTGTATTTCTTTCTCCAACTTTCTCACCTTTTTTCTAATGATCCAAATCGATTGTCAAATTCTTTAAACCGTTGTTACAGTGTAACTATGTCCGTTTTTAATCCTTGTGTTGGTTCAACAATTGAAACGTATGAAGCCTAAATTAATTATATCATCCGTTGAAAGATTTCCGAAGGAGAGTTACCCTCCTTCTTCTAAAAGACAAACACAAAATTCCCAATTTTTTTCAAGATTTTCCTCTTTATCTATTTACTTCTTTTACTTCCGGATTTTTGTTTGTCTTATTCGACTCCATACTACCAATTATACCATAATAGGTATAATTACCAACAAGTAAAATCGAAACAACCAAATCTTCATTACAGAACTCATCCTATTTCAATTCTACCTAACAAGACACTCTTTCACGTTAACACCACCGAATGCAAGAACGTTCATTCAGCTTTCCAATACAGAAAAGTGGATATTCTGTAAGGTGATGCGAACAAATCCGAAAAATTTTATACTTCCTTCTCTTTTCTCCAAGTTGATGTGTGAATTTAAAGATTAGGAAAGAATCGACTCCACTATGGATCTTCTGGTCGATCGCAGAATCGTTTTGTAACACGGAAAATGTTCAGGTAATTTTAACGAGTTTTCTTGTACAGGGAGGAGACACAATGAAAGTCCAAGAAGAAGAGGATAAAGATAATCCTAGTACACTTTCTATGTTTCGTTTTTAAACTTTTTGAATAAAATTGTTAAAAAAGAGTAAAATGAAATCTTTTTCGAAATGTAATCGTGGAATTTTAACATATGAGAAAAAATATAAAGACAAATTTTTCCTGGGAGAGAATGAAATATAAAGTGTTACCTCAGGATACGAACGCCCCAGCATACGAATTTTTCAGAATACGACATGAAATTCGAACATATTTTTGTTCCACGATACGAACAAAAAACGACTTTACATTAGTTCGCAGCGCCATTTTTTATTCACTTCTGTTCATCGGTCTCAGTCCGCGTGTTTGCTTCGTCGTGGAAGGATCTCGCTCGATAAAGGAAATCTTGAGGTATTATCAGAAAGTGACTGATTTTATTGAAAAGAAACATCCCGACAAGGTTCACACTAGTCGTATTGCCGCTCGGAGTAATGACATTTGCCTAAGTCATTTTAGAAACATTTTAAAAAGTAGGCAAAGCCAAACCTCTTTGGATTGATATTTTACAAAGTGACCTCTATCTGGTGAAAGTGCTGGTGGAAGTGAAGGAAAGAAAGCAAAAAGCAGTGAATAAAAATTTTAAAAATATATATATAAAAACAACACTAATTTTTTTATCTTTTCTACGTTATTTTTAAGTTATTGTTACATTATGTTATGTAAGTTAAGTTTTAGTGTCATTTCCCCTTCTCCCTCTCTTCCGCCACCAGTTTACACTTCTACCGTCGTCTATCCTCAAAGGTAAAGTGCAAATAAAACATGTTTTTTAAAAATCAATTATTATTCTATTATGGTTATTTATACATTTACAACTACAAAACGCATTTTTCAGTGTTTTCCTTACTATAGTTATTTTTTTAATGTACTACTTAGCTTTAATTTGGAGTGTGTTTTTCGTGTTGGAACGAATTATTTGGTTTTACATGTAATCGTATGGGAAAAAATGATACGACATTACGACATTTTCATGATACGATCTCAGTTTTGGAACGGATTAATTTCGTATCCTGAGGCACTACCGTACACAGAGCAAGCAGCAAAGGATCAACACGTAGTGTTAGGAGGCAAATCTTTCGAAAGCTATACTAATACAAAACCGTGCCAAGTCAGTAAAGAATTGCGGAACAAGACTATACAAAAGATGTCAAAATTAATCAGAGTGAAAATTCTGTCCAGCCCCTACGAGTACGTGTAACAAGAAAAATGTGATTGCGTGACTTAAGTGTAATTGAAATTTTTATTTATTAAGTCGCAAGATGATCGATCGATCTGCTTACAAAATTTTAAAGTGTAAAATTCAATTTATTTTTTATTCAAAAATGTTCGAAAGTTTTGATATTATGACTATTAAAATTTTGTTTTAAAAATTCGAACGTAGCAATCAAACAACATTCGAAAAAATTGTTATAATGTTAAATGTTATCGTGCTAAATATAAAAATCATTGAACAATAAATCTCTCGAATAAAACATTTTTAAAAATTAATTTACATCTATAGGAATGCAAGTGATTACATGTTGTATGAAAATGGACATTAGTTATTGAATTAATTTACTAAAGAAATCATTCCATTGGATATCGCGTACAAAACGAATTGAATAGCGAGGTTGCGGCCGAAGTTTTCATTTCTAAAACGTGAACGTCGAACTTCGAGCGCCACTTACAAGAAGCGGCGCTCGACGTTCGACGTTCACGTTTTAGAGATGAAAACTTCGGCCGCAACCTCGCTAATAATTCCTCAAAATGCATCGCCATACGAGAAATAACTGATGCTTTACTTTTTACATTTATAATAATAAAATCGTTAATGCTTATTATTTAAATATATAGTTATGACAATGCAGCCGAACCGCCAATAACGGCCACCTCGAAATGGCAGCCATTTTCCAGGAAGGTTTCTTTTTGAGCAGAAACACATACAAAATAATCTCCAAACAAGGTCTCGCCACTAAAAAAGCTATTTTTAACCTCTCGTAAACGGCCACTGCCCTCAAAATGAAGCCCAGAATATAATAATGTACTGTTAAAAATTAGCCATTATCGATAAGTTTGGTTACTGGCTTTTACCTGGTTAATAAACTTGGCCGTAAATGTAAAAGATAAATTTTTAATTTTAGTTGTTTTTAAAGAGAAATTTGAAAAATGTTTAATTAAATTATCTCCGTCGTCAGACCACACTCTTCCTGTTTTTACGTATGTTAACGCAATTCGTAGCCTACAATAAAAGATTGATCTGTTTTTAGGAGTTCACTGCGCGTTAGATGGCTTGGTAAAATTTATTTTCTTTTTTTTGTCACTTTTACAATAACAAAAGAGTTTCGTAAACACTACATAGTGTTTACGACACTTAAGAATAACGACACGGTTTCAGATTAGAAAAAAAAATTAATAAAAGTAATAAATTAAGTTTTCCTTCTACTTATAAGACCTGTGCAATTTCCAACTCACCTCTCAACCACGGCCCCATTTTTAACGTTTTCGTCAGTGGTCGCCGTTAACTGTATTTGCAGTAATAATGCAAGGACCGAGCATTTATATAATGTAAAACGTATTCAGGGAGTGCTTATGATACCTTAACACACCCTTGATACCAAAGCAATCAGTTTTGTTACTTTAAAATAAATATAATAATTATTAATAATTTTATTGCTTTAATAGTTAGGATTTTATATTTCGATTTTTAAAAAATAATAATATAAAATGACAATATTAGTTTAACTAATGATTAAATGATTATAGGTTATAGTTTAATGATTACGCTAGTTATACGGTATAAAAAAATAATAATAATAAGTACAGATATGTTTTAACAATGGTCGCAGTTTTTGATTTTGATAATGAGTTTAAAATATGCAAATAAACACTAAAGAAATGAAATTCTATTGTCAAACTTAACAATATGACATTTCTTTGCGACTTTTACTTTCAATTTTCGTTTCAGATTGGGGTAGAGTAAAAGAAGAACTTTTTCGTTTAATGGAGAAGGTTAACAGGTGTTTTTCCAGAGAACGTAGAGGCACTTCGAATAAGATTGTTCCAACGAATGACAATATGAAGCTGATTACGAGGTTTCCGAAAAATAACCAAATCTGTAAATAATATAGTTTGACTTAAATATATATAATTTACAAAATAACGTCTTAAAAATTAACTTTTAAATCCTTTTAAAAATAACTTAATTCTATATATTAAAAATGTTATTTTTACAATCATCTATAAAAATTAAAATAACACTATAATTTATATTGATTAATAGATAAATTTCTGCTCTTCCTCTTATTCCTAGAAGAGGAAGAGCAGAAATTAAGAGTCACTTTTACGATATTCGCCACCAACTTTTATGCGGCCAAAAATTTTCTTTAAACAAACGAAACTTATATTAATTTAACTTAATTAAAACGGTTAATAACGAGATTATTAAAAATATCGAGATTTATGTACTAGTTTATGTAATTCCGTGATTTTTATGCATCATTTAATTTGTCGAGCGACTTTTTCTCTTTATAATCTATACGGGTGGTCTCGTCAGTAAAATTTATAACAACGAAATACTAAATTCATTAATTATTATTGAGAATATTACGAAAAATAAATAAATACGTTTAACATGTTGCGTGTCAGACAAATTCTTTGGTTGTATCACTTTGGGCAGACGTGCCACCCCCGTCGCGGGACACGATAAACAAAAATACAACTGCAGATAACATGAAATAAATATTTGGATTTTTACTATTAAATTATTCTAACTTTCTAATTACACATACAAAAATGTTTTAAAAAATTGAACGAAATCCGTTTGTTCATTATAAATTAAACTACACTTTATGAAATTTTTTTTCCATTTAGTCGGATTTACACTGAACGCACTTACAAGTAAATCAGTTTTGAAGATTACTACTCGAAGACAAAACGTAGATGATTATCAAAGACATTAAAATATAACAAACGTGAATTTGTATTTTGTATTTTAATTTAGTCGTAATTTTCGCTGGATAAAAGAAAATTTTCCTAATTCAATAAAGGATTAATTTACGTGTGTTTCATATAATATTTGAATAGATGATAAAGTTAATAATTCTAAATAATATTCTAACGAAGCCAAAAGATAATTCCTGGGCAAGAACGTGTCTTTTTTTTAACATTATTGAAATTGTACAAATCTATGGCGGATATTTCCAGATTCATCACTCGTAACTTCTCGTAGACTGTTCTATTGTCTTCTAATATTATTAGTCGCCTGTGATCTGCCTAAAATGTAGAGCAAATTTGGAATTCTAGGGTAAGTTTCCCAGAAACTTGAAAGAAAAAGAGTTAACACGTTTTCTTTCCAAGGTCTTTAATTAACAGTTGTTATAAAATGCTGTTAAACTGAATTAAAAACATGAAACAATTCTTATCTTTAACATTATAATGGTTATTATCATACATTAAATAAAGTGATAAAAGATATTAAGTTTTATTACTAATTTTTAATATTTTGAAATTTATTTATAATATCTAAAATATCTCTCAAAATATGGAAAACCAGAAATATACCCTAAGAAAGTAATAAATTAGATGCTTAATTTATCTTCTAAGTTTACTTTAACTCGAGGCAAGATTAAAAGGTAAATAAGATACGGGATAAGTATTTATGTAATTAGAGAATGTGAAATGTGAAAGACCCAACCGAATATAAATATATTTCTTCTCTGATTTACTGTTACTTTCTTTTGATGAATAAAGTTGTAGTTTGGTCATTGTTTATTTATTAAGCTCAAGTATTTGCACAGAAGACATATACACACAAATATTACATTGTATTTGTTATTCGTTTGACCTTATAATCCTCATTAAGCGCAACAGAAAAATATCTTTACCTCATTGTACGTTTCTATAATTTAGTGAACAGAAAACAAACGAAAAATAAGTTATGTTGGTTCCAAACAAGAAAAAAACATATAAATTTAAGTAAGAAATGAAAAATTAATATTAATAACTAATATCAGTCTTTGTAATTTTATTTACATAAAACAAATATTTAAGTTTCTTGGTAATATAAATGAAAAAATTAATTTAAAAAATTAGAAATATATAAAACATTCTTCTGGCAGAAGACCAAAACTAAGAAAAATTTATATATAAAAAGCCAAGTTGTTTGTATCAACAAATAGACTGCAGTACCATTTAATTATTTCCACAGAGTTTACAAATTTAGAATATTCTTCAATGCTTTTCACTAACTCGTATATATTCTAGAACAAACAAAACATGTAAAAACAACGCGATGAAATTATATTTTTATTACTTTTTAAAAATTATAATTTATTCGCGTAACATTAATTTTAGACTTGTAATTTATTCAGTTTTATTATTTATAAAAAAAAACAAATCTTGGAAAAATTTTTAGCTAAAATCTTAAGCAAATTTTAGGATAATTGTAATAAAAAAATATATAATTAATATTCTTTCGAATGTCTTTAAGTAGTAAACTATAAACTTATTTAATAAATTAGCCATATTATAATATTTGGCATTTTATTATTATTATTATTATTATTTTAGTTTAAATTTGTTACATCGTAAAATAGCAGGTACATACTGTCAAGCCTCTGACCAGGCTGTAAGCCTAGAAACAAGAAACAACGATCAAATGTTACCGAATGTTAAAATAACTTAGTAATGTGGCAATTGTTAATAATTACCATTTTCTGAAAGGTCAAGTAGAGGAGAAAGATACGTATCCTCAAGGCTTTCTGAACATATAGGCCTATTATGAAATGTAAGTACAGAGACGGCTGTCTCTTGTCCGTTAAGCATCTTATGCACTATGAAGAATGGCCAGATTTTGGGCGAGGAAAAATACGATTGTATAGTGTTTTATAAAAATTTTTTTATAGAATATAAAGTAATTTAATGAAAAAACAACGCCTTTTACTAACGAACAAACAAAACGTTTTTCGAAAACAAAACAAAAAAATTATAAATCAATATGTGACAATCATTAAAATATAGCCGAATAATCGTTATTGGTTAGAATAGGTAAAGTTGAGGGCGACAGATATATAAAGTGTCTGGGAAGGCAAATAAGCTAGAACCGGTCTCGACGGGTGAGGCAACTACCTAGGCGGCAGAACTTAGAAGGCACCGAAACAAGCAATCGAGTTTTCGATTTTGCGCATTACAAAGGACTTGTTATATGACCAAAACTGAAAGTAACAATAGGATATTTATACGTATAACGAGAATTTCAGGTTAGTTTTTTGGTAAGATTATCAGAAAGACGACTCGATATTTTTCTACGACACGTGCGTGACATTGATTAGCATTAGTAAGAAACAAATACAATAAACTGTGAACATCCAAACGCAAAAACTTAAATGTGAAATGTATGCTAAGAGCAAATGAATAACAAATAAAAAATTAGCGATAATACGTTATAATTACCTTCCCGGCTCTGTTATCTATAACAGATGGAAGGTATGACCATCGGTCATAAAATGACTCCCCAAGAATTTTTACATTTTTAGACTCGAGACACCTCGAGAGACTTCGAGAAAAGGCAAAAAAAGAAAAATCGTAAGTTTTTTCTGTATGTATGAATGTGTGTGTGGATAATTTTGTTTATTCTTTTTGAAGTCTAATAACTCCTGTGTTTTTTGTCGAAAATTTCTGAAATTTTACAGGGAGATTTGTGTATTAAAGGATTCATGCTATTAAATTTTGATGATTAAAGGTCGAGGAGTCGGGAGATAAAAGGAATCGTGTGTCATATCTGCAGTAGGGTCGGCGTAATGACAATTTTACTCGTTATTGGGCTGCATTTTGAAAAAATTGCAGATTATAAATTCCACTGTTGTTCGTCTGTCCGTCCATCTGTCTTTGCTTAATCTCGAAAACTGAGATAGATGGATGAATACTAGACCGGATATGGAAACTTTAGAGCAGGTGGCCCCGATTAGCTATATACAAATATACGAACTTCTGGTGCAAACTGGAAGTCACGTTATTTCAATTCAAAATTTTCCCCCGAAAAGTGTCAGATAGACTATTTGTTGTTAAAGGAAAAGTATGATGTACGGGAGCACTATTAATTTAAGGTGAAGAGCTTATATTTTAAATTAAATAAATTTAAAATATGATTAAAACTCGCAACCCGTCATTGAGACGATGTCACAATAAATAATTGCTCGTTACATTTACAATTTTTTTTTATAAAATCTATCCCTACCCTCAAAAATTAAGCTTTTTGACATTTTATAATAATTAAAAATATAAAAAGTTTTTAATAATAAAATATCGTAACTAATGGCTCCACACACGCAATTTTAAATGTTGCCGGAAAAGTTAAGCAACTTTTTACTGAAATTTTTTTTGTACAGACTTTCTAAATAAGGATACAAAAATGTCCTCTGCCACAACGCCATCTATTTCCCACAACAGCACAGAAGTTGCAAGATGCCAAGGGGTTTAAATTAATGAATATGACAGAATTTTTTAACTTCTTACAAGTTTTTTCTAAAATCTCAAACATTTAGACTATAAATAAATATTATAACAACTATATTTATTAATCGTATTAAAGGATGGTGAGGATGAAGGTATTATCTCTTCTTTAAGTTTCATTAATATCTACTGGCATTAGCTTAAAAACATTAAGTAAGAGTCCCGAAAGTCTTCTTAATTTTATATATACTAAAGATCGTATTTGTTCGTTTCCAAATGTTAAAGTCAGTTTCCGTATACTTTATACATTTTGCATAATTGAACTTGAATCAGGGCGCTAAGTATGAATTTTGCCTCGGAAAAAACTGTTTGGCACGGTTCTGTGTCCTGTGTAAGAATTTTCAAACAGTTATTTTTAATATTTTCAGATTATCGAAAATGTTTCTGAACGTTTCTAAATATTCTTAAATACAATTAAAACACTTTTATTCAAAAATATCTTAATTATTATTCAATGGAAGATACGAATAGATATAAAAGAGAAAAATACTTGACATCATTATGATTTCTTTGCACGACTTGTATGCAAATAGAGAATGGATAACAAAAAATCAAGTATGATAAACTGAACAAATAAATATAAACGTAAAACATACCTAAACTATATGAAAAGAAAACAAGAATAGATATGAATAGATATCAAAGATCTGCATTAACTTTTAAATTAAATGAGGACAAGAACATTTCTTTTTCCACTCATTTCTTTTTACTTATATTATTCATACTATGTACTACATAAGTATCATTGAATAATAACATTTCTATTGCAACTTGAAACAACGTCGTATTTGCCAAAGTGTATATCATAAAAGATCGGCACTTACCGAATGCGTTTTGATAACGGTTCACTTTAGTCTGCAAACTACTTTTCGTTAGCTAAGTGCGTAAACAATCCAAACGCTAGGTGCCATCATAAATTAGTTGTAAAGATTGTACAAGCTCTGTGAGAGAAACAAGTTGTGCACATGCTAATCATTTAAAAAATAGGTAAGGAAACGCTATAAGTCCTATGATTAGGGTTTGGGAAAGCTATATTAGAAGAGCGAATGCTGGTTCAAAAACTACGGAGTGATTTGATAGAGAATTCCCGTCAGTCATTCCATTCTGTCCAAAGTATTTTCCAAATACTGTATACAAATTCGTTTTAATCTTTCATTATTAAGATCAATTCTTCAAGGTTTTTTCATTTGCACGCTCAAATAACATCTTTATTTTTGTCATAATTGGATGTAAAGGAGGGAGACGTTATCTTTAGACAGTGACACAAAGAAAGTTTTTGCAATTCTCTCATTTACTTGCTGAAAACTCCAAAATTGGAAACATGCAAGATGTTTGTATGTATGTATGTATGTATATATAATACAAAAAAACTCGTAATACTCATATATATAAACACACTTAATGAAGTTAATACAGCAAATAGATAAGGCGATTTAAGTCTCAATTGTTTTCGCTGTTTTACTATTATGGATCGAAAAATATCTAACTAAAAAAGTCAGCAGATTTAAATATGCACAACATTAAAAGAAAATTCTTAAATCCGGATATTAAACCAACAAAAGCTCACACTGATAAAAAAAAACTAAGCCCAGTTTAAAAAAAATTTTTTTAATATTCGACATTTTATCCAAACAGTCTTTCACTCCGAACTAAACCTATACTTAAAAGACGAATCCCTTTATTTTAATAACAAATAATCGCAATAAGTAATTACCTCGATAATCGAAAACCAATAAAATAATCAAAGTTCTTGTATTATTTTATTGGAATGATATTTCGTATAAATTGGAATTAGATCGTTTATCCAATATTCGTATTTAAATCAATTACAACTCTGATAAAAATCCGATATTAAGACATACCGAGAATGATGTAACGGTTTTAATCATTGTATAATTAATAAAGAAAGTATTGACACATTACGAACACGAGATCTTAAAAGTTAATAGACTTAATAACAAAAACTATTAGAAACTACATCGACATTGTAAAGCTGTTTATAACTTACATAAACTTGATGATCTGCAAACACCATTGCTCTAGATCTTGCAACGTAATGCATCTGAACGTATATATGTATTAAATAAGCTATAAACGTGCACCGACTTAAAGGGATCAAGGCTTTCCACGACAGCAATTTTGCGACAAAACCTGCAAGAAATACAAATAAAATTTGAACTTAAACTAAGAGAAAATAAAATAAACACTAAAAGTCTTACCTCCGTTTTCTGTACAACACATTATCGTTAACCAAGCTAAACCTAATGCCCAAGCAGTTCGGTGAGTGGAGGCATAAAGAACAGTTATAAATGTTCCCGGTAAATATCCTCTGTTCCAGTCGTAAACACCGTACAGTGACAAGCAACTAAATCCAATTGCAACTAACCAGCCAAATACGTTAACTCTCTAAAAAAATAATAAAAAATATTTACTTTATCGAGTAAAATAAATAATTGCATTTTCAGCAGTTCGTAAATTAAGTGTTTAAATAACAAAAACAATTAGTTATAAGATTATTTTTAAGGATTTAAGAAGATAAATGTTCAATTTATTATATATATACTTTCGTAATATTTCTTCTCATTACCGTAGACAAACACAAAGATGCAATGGAAATATATTTATAAAAATCTAATTTATAATTCCATTTATAGACGAAAATTAACTTATTGCAATAGGTAAGTTGTTTTACTTGATTAAAATTCAAAAATGATTTAATTCTAAATATTGAATAAATACGACGTTCAATAAAAGACTAATTTCAAGTACTTAAATTAGAAATTCAGAAAGATAACTGGAGTCATTTGCAAAATTAGTAGTTGCACTAACATTACAGTAAATATAAAGAAAACATTATTAATTTTAATGTTCGAATAATAATTCCATTCTTATATAGTATGCAATAAGTATGATATATTTATGGAATAATGATTATTTAAATATTTCAATCGACTTTGTATCTATTACCGAAAGAATGCGATCTTATTTTGCATTTATGCAGTGTAAAAATTTATTTGAGGAAACTCGCTTCTGCCATTAAATAAACGAAAGTAACGAAACTATATTATTTGCTAAATTCGTCTATATTTATCCGTATTCATATTTTAATTAAAATTATAATTTAAAAAAAAATTAATAACGAAAAGGAATATTTTTCATCACCTTGGTAGTCTTCAAAGTGCTGTATTTTTCCACAAAATATCCAACAGCAAACCCAACAAAATATGGTCCGGCATGAGCGTAAGGTTTAAAATATAATTCGTGATTAAGGTTCTTCCTGAATCTGAAATAAATGCATCGTATGTCAGAAATTTTCAGTAAAATAAATCCTTTAACTTACAGTAAAATTTTTTGAAATAAAAAAATGTATTTAATATGAACTTAAATAATATTTGTCATTATATTAAATGCGAAAGGGAATTCTAAAAGACATTTCTGCTTGTTTAAATTTAACGTTTTAAAATTATTTAGACTAATCTTAATGTTATGCTCTACCCTTACTGTTACGCTTACTCTTAATGTTATGCTCTCCTATGCTCCTATTATTATTATTTTACCTAGCATTTATAACTTTAGTCTATTCTGCCTTCTTGCGGTAGTTAGTTTATGAGAATTATGCAATATGTTCTGGAAAAGTTATGCCAGGCTTATATCTTTACTCGGTAGATATACAAATTTAGATATATTGATACCTGGTACATCTAAAATTTGAAAATTTGTCCTTTTTACACTACATGGAGAGCCTGTAAACGAATAGATTCCACTGCGTGATTATGTGATCCTGAGATGTAAAAAAGACAAATATGCACACTAAATTCCTATATCTTCTGATGGAGAATTTAGTAATTTTCCTTCTAGTATTATGGCTTATACAAATTATACTTATATTCTATTCAATAAGGAGTAAAATCTACACTTGGATGTGTATAAATAAACATCGTATAATTAAAATAATTTAAATATATATTCTAGATCAAATTAAACGTTTAAAATAAATATTTATAAAATTGTAACAAAATTAAATATATCTTTAGAAAAAATATTTTCTGCAAAATAAAAATAAGAAACAACGAGTAATTATTTATTGTGACATTGTCACAATGCCGGGCTACAATCATATTTTTAATTTATTTAATTTAAAATATGTTTTCCGCCTTAAATTAGTAGTGGCTCGCTCCTGTACATCGTACTTTTCCTTTAACAGTAACGTCGTGTCGGTCATCTATCTAACAACTTTTGGAGGAAAATATTTTAATAGAAATAACATTACTTTCGATTTGGATCGAAAGTTCATTTATCGGTACTTCCTGCATTTACGGTTTCCATATCCGGTCTCGTCTTTCATCTACCTAACCCCATTCTCGAGATTAATTAAGGAAAGACAGGAGGACAGACGGACGAAAACTGATACAAAAGTAGAATTATAATTCTTAATATTTTACCCTCTTTGTAGATTTATTTACATTTTTAAGTATTTAAGTATTCTAGTTGATCAACTTGTTTTAGTATCAAATTTCAGTATTTTTTTTATTGTCCTACTGTCAAAAAAATGTTTATCGCAGTTTCATAAAAAGTTAGTTATTTTGGTAACTCGTTGTCTTGATTACAGCACGATAAATTGCAATAGCAAACTTGTTTTATAAAAAAGCAAATAGCTTAGTATCTGATATTCGCTTATGTTATTTCCTGTTATCCATCCTCCTTATATCTTTCCTAGTTATCGTTAATAATATGAATGGCTTCCAATATAGTGTTTGCCCTAAACGAGCTGCACAAAACTTTCATTTATTATTAACAATGTTTTATGTAATTTTCATAGTTAGTTTACTTTATTTTTATTTAGTAAGTTATATTTTTTTAGTTATTTCTTCGAACTCTTTTATGTTTCTTATTAGAGAAATTCGTTATCATTTTCGTGTTGAACACTCTACTTTAAAATCTAAACTGAATAAGAAGTGACTTTTATATAGAATTACTTTAATTAAATTACTTATTTGATAACTAGTGAAGTGCTTTATTTAAAATTGTGAGGGACGAACAGACCCACAATAAAGTGTTATTTTAAATTTTAAGTATTGGAAACTTTAATCGGTTAAATTCGAACGTTTTATCGAGTTAGGCTAAAGGCCATAAAAATTATTTCTTACGGGGTTTGTTCCTTGTTGAGTCGGATCAAGTTAGTCAGGGATGTGTCACCAGGAACTTTGAATGGAAAAGACATATTGGACGGGCGACCGTTAAAGGCCATCACCTGACCTCATGGAAAAAACCCAAGAGGAAAAAAAAAGAGAAAAGAAAACGATCCCGAGGTCAGTCGTCATCCGAAGTCCCTCTACAGGAGTCGTCATCCGAAGTCCCTCTACAAAAGTCGTCATCCGAAGTCCCTCTGCAGAAGTCGTCATCCGAAGTCCCTCTGCAGAAGTCGTCATCCGAGGATTAAAACCGTGATCCAGGATTCAAACCGTGCCCAGGATTAAAACCGCTACCCAGGATAAAACCCGTGCATCAAAATTCCGAAATAACACCTTGACAGAAGTAACACCGTGTCTCCTTAAGAATCTCACCCCACTTCCGTGCTTCCACACCTCCGAGATCCAATTAACGGACAAGAACTAGTGGAAAGACCATTTCAGAGGAGTCAAGAGTGTCATCATACTACAGATCTGCGACCTAGGAAAAAGAAAGGTATTTATCAACCCGCGATTCGGTTGTAAACTCTCTCTCTCGAACGGAATAGTATAATTAAGTCCGCTAATATGCCCGATATCTCTGTATTTTCTTTGTTTATTATTAAAATGGAATTTTTGTTAGAACATATGGAGTCCGAGTGAGTCACTTCCTCGTCTCTCTCCTCACCTCTACTCCGAATCCAAGCGCTCACACGCTACCGCTCGCGAATCTTTAGACTTAACGTCGCGATTTCCGAGTCCCCTAGAGACTCGGTGGTGTCATCCTGACAGGGCGCCAAAGAGGTGCCGACCCTACGGTCACAAAATTATAATTCATTGAACATTGAACATTTGCGTTGAGGATAAATAGTTTATTATTGTAAATATCGTCTGCATTAATTTCATAATTTTGAAAAGAACTATGGAAATATTTCAAACAGAAACATGTTATTAATGATTCAAAATGTATAAAATATAATAATAATGATAATAGTTGTTTTTCTACGTAAAAGAGTTAGATAACGATAATCACATAAAAATAACTAGGTATTCTTGTGGTAAGGTGATAGCATTTTTTTTTTCATTTATTTAGTAACAATAGAAATAAAGATGAGACTTACTATATCTATATTCAGCAGAACGAGATAATTTCGTTCTTCTGGTTAACAGCGTGTTGTAATTGCCATAAAAATAAAAACTTCCATATAAAGTAATAAAAACTAGTAGCAAGCTGCGGTTTTAACATCTTATGTTTTCCAGTGACATTTTAAGTGTTCTTTAATACGATGAACCGTCACTCTAACTCAAAAATAGAGGACATATGGCCGAGCTAACGGCAATACACGTGAAGCGCAACGACTGTACAGAGAACTTTTCAAACTGCCGTAACCCGAGAAAGGAGCATTTTCGGACCTATGTTTGTATGGAAAATTTTCATTTTTATGACCCATAGAATACGCTGTTAAAGTTTGCGAGACCTCTCAAAAACATTCTGTAGAACTGTCATTTTGGGATGAATGTCTCGGAGAGGAGTAAAAACTGACGAAATTCGAGAGTAGAGAGAAATAGCAAAATAATATAGTAAGTAAAACAAAGAGTAGACAGTAAAATAAAAACGATTTAGAGAAGAAATGAAATGGCGATTTAGTACAATGCTCCAAATAGCACCTCGCGTTAGTGGAAAAAATGAAGAAATAAAGTCAGGCTGAGAGTAACAAAAAGAGAATATTTGGGCATGTCAAATATGAAAGAATATGTATTAAATTTATAAAATTTGTAACTCAAAACTATGACGTAAAGAAAACAAAAAGAGCGACAAACATAACAAGCACTTAGAAATACTGTATTACTATAAAGTTTTTCGTAGATTATGGAATAACGGTCTGTTCTCTGAAATATCAGTATAGCAAACTATTCAAATAAAATTATATGAATAAATTTTTAAAATTTTAACTTTTATAATAATGCATTAAAAGATAAAAGTTTAAACACTTAACATTTAAAAGTTCATTAAAATTTTTAAGTTTGAAATATGTTACATCAATAATATTCATGCTATTTAAATCAATTCAATTTCAGTTGATGAAATATATTATAGATCTTTATAATAGCATATTTTTTAGTGTAGCGATGACTATTTCTGATAAAAAAAGATAACTTACATTAAATTCGAATCATTAATAAAATGAAAATTACTCGAATCTTATATGATTTTATTATAATTAATTATGCTATTTTAAATAAACGCTTTTTCTATATCAGACTTTTAATTGCTTTCAAAAGAACAAAGTAACATGCTGCAAAGGTGTTAAATTCGTGTGAATTAAAATAAATAAATAAAATGTTCTCTTTATTTCTCGTTTAACCTATGTTATATAAAATAAATACTTTTAAAGCGAATATTAGCTATTTAAAAAATAACTTCAGATTGGTTGGTATTCTTCATTCTGTATAAAGTACTAATATTTACAGTAAGTATCATTACTTTATAAACATATAAGTGCAGTTTTACCGTAGTATTTAGCACAAGTATGCGCCAACAAAATGATCAAATAAATATTAATACTTATAAAAATTTTAAAATATATAATAAATATGCTAATTATATGCATGATTTTCACATGCTATTTATGATGCTAAACTTAATATAATATAATGCGCGTGTTTACAAATATAAGAAGTTATTATTGAACTTACTCAGAATCAGAATAGATTATCAGAATAGTTGGGGTAAAATTTCTTACATAAGTAATGTATCCCGTGATTACCATTGATAAAATTATTAAAATCACGTTAACTATCATTCCGATAATTGGCCATCTGAAAAAATAAAAGTATATTTAATTAAATTTTCACTAGAAAATTGAAGATTATCTTCATAAAATACTAAAATATGTTTAAACTTTTATTAATTTTATTAGTAAATAATCAGACTGATAATTTGATAAAACAGCCGGATAGCCACGTTGATAAGGTAAAGTCCGTACAATTTTTGTTATAGGATGACTTTTACAATAAAAAAATTAACAAAAGTTTACAATAATTTTTATAGCTGAACTAAATTCTATTCACTCTTAATTATAATGGAATTTATATAGTATATAATCTAGTTTATAATACTTTTAATAAGTCACAACATGAATATGAGACATTGAGTTGTACTATACCAATAATGAACAGTTTTGTAATGTCAGGGTTTAGGTTTAAGTTTTTGGAATTTCATATCGCAAATTCATTTCTACTCTCATATCAGAGTAGAAATCATAAGATTCGTGGAGATTACAAAACCAAGTTAATAGACAAACTTACTTGACTTATAATGTGTAATATACTTCTATCAATATACCAATTAAGTTTTCCTATTATAGAAATTTGAATTTTACTAAACATCTTAAGTGGATGAAAGAAAATAAGGTGTTGAGTCAAAAAGAGAATGTGAGGAAGTGTGCTTGAATAGCCACCAGTGTGTATGGACAGGACGGTGTGGAGAAAGTTGTTGAATGTATAATTTGCAACATTGTAATTTCCTTTCGCCTGCTGCTCAACCTTTTCGGACTACGAGAGTGGGGATATGTATGAATAAATTTATCAACTTATTTTAAAATCATGTTTTCGGTTTTGTTAAATGTTTGGCCAATTGTTTAGTAAATGACTCCAGTAGGCATCTTACGCGACAATCAGGGTAAGATGTTAAGCGGAATCATTTAAACCAACACGGCGGTTTAAGATCGGTGTTTGCTGACAATGGTAACTTTGGAAGTAATAATTTATCAACAAGTTTTCTTATTTAATAATACATATAAATACGTATAACAGTTTTACTTTGCTTTTAAAATAATTTTAGTCAGAAAAATAGTGAGTGGTTTCCTAGTATTTTGTTTCTAGAAATTGAGAATTCTATATAGAATTCTATAATAAAATTGAGTCTTCCTCCTGTAAGCATCTTCCCTGATCCACTCTATTTTATAGAATAGATCGGGGAAGATGCCTATCTTTAAACACAAATTATCATCGAAATTTACATTTTAATAAAAATATTCTTTCGGCAATATAATAAATACAGTTACATATTATTATGATTTATTAATAAATAAAATTTTTAAGCTAACATACAAATTGCACTAAAACTTTGATCACATGTAATATAATACATATACTTCAATATATTTTAAGAATTAATAGATTAAATAATAGTAACTGACCATGAATTTTTGTAAAATGTTTAATTACGGTATATTAGATTTTAGTACAGATCCAGTATTATTTAATATTTATTCATCACTATTATACATATATATTATATGTATATATTTAAACATTCAAAATTTAATCAATATGGGAAAGTGGACAAACGGGACATTGACTTTACAAAGTCATCAGTGGGATTGTAGTAAGAACTTTTGTTATTATTACGTATTAAAATGTTTAATAAAGATCAATAAAAATTAAGTTGGTCCCAAGGATAGTATGCCAACATTAACACTAGAGCATCTTGCACGTAATATGGAACAAGATGCGTAATCATCAATAGAGATAGCAAGTCACAGTTCAGTTTCGACGGAAGAGACCGGTTTTTCGCGTCTCAAGCCTCTTTACATTGCAACATCAGGAATCTTGCCGGTCCTGAGGTGCTAAACAGTTTATTTATCACTATACAAGCGGTAAATAAACCTCTACCAAAGAATAAAATGGCAAGAGAAATTCCTTATCAAAAATATCCCAAAAGAGTTCACCTGGATCCAATCCACCGGCAAACGAAAACAAATGGATGCGGTGAATTTAAGTAATGTTTGTATAGAATGCAGGAAACTGTACAGAGAAAGAGAAAATTAGACTAAATGTTTACGATGTAAATTTAGGTTCACGTTTCACGTTCATCAACATGGAAATGATCTATACTTTGTTCGTCCTCACGACTATGATAATTTTAATGATTGAAATCTACAGCATCTATTTGCCCCACTTCCATTCCTTATGTCCCACAGTTGGGAACATAACATCTTGCACTCGTGCCAATAAACGTTTCTAACGCTACTAAGACAAACTAACTTTCGATTACTACTTGAACTGTGAATATGAACGTCTTTAATGTCATATGCCACATATATCAATGTTCTCAATATAATTTTTGTGCTATTTATCCTTAGCGTGTATTCAAATACATTGCTATCAGGAATATTTATATATTATGAGATAATATAGATAATAGACTCTTAGAAAAATTTCTTAGAATGCGTTAAAAGAAAACATTTACAGGTTAGTAACGTGCCTTTAATTATTGCATAGTTTTTGAGTATACTTCTATTAACTTTGTAAAAGAAAATATTCCAAAGTCACTTGTCAGTTTACCATTCTTATTTACAAATATACATAAAATGGACGAAGCAAAACACGTTTATCAAGAAAAGACTGTATTAAATATTAATCATAAAAATGATTATAGAAATTTATTAGACATTATATTTCGACAAATTTATCATCAGTAATAATAATAATATTATTATTATTAATAACAGTGGTATGAGCAGCAAAGAAATTTTAGAGAAAAATATCAAACAAATAACAGATTCAATTACATGGAGAAAATGAACATGTGAGTTATTATGGATGCCACATTAATGTGGTGAGATTAATATTGAATAGAATTGAAGATACAAAAAATGGAGCCAAAACATTTATTCACGTGTTTTCAGTAATTAAATATATTTAAAAATATTTCAAAATAAAAAATAATGCAAACCTTTAAAAAAATCAAACGCAAATACAGTAGAACCTCGATTATCCGGACCTCTATTATCCGGATTTTCGATTATCCGGATTGTTCAAAATAAACAAAAATTTTACGAATTTGCTGATTTGCATCTGGCGAATTACGACACTGTTTATGTACGTGATGGAATGCATAACATTTTTTGTTTCAACAACGTCTCACCCGGCACAGTGGTCGTAAACTCTTAAATATATTTTGCGTCATAATAAAAATATAACTTGACATACGTATTTATAAATAATTTTATACTCAAATTACATCATTTCTATAACCAAGGGCGGCGTAAGGTATGGGCAACGTGGGCCACCGCCTATGCCTGGCGGTCCGAAGGGCCTCGCGCCTCGAAGGTTAATGCATTACTTAAAAGCCGAGACCGCGATGAAAAAATTTTACTCGTCATAAAACGATAGTTTGTCAAATTTTTATTCATAAAAATGCAGTTTTAAACTGCTTTTTATTTTATAAAATCCGTCTTCTTGAGCCGCCAGAGGGCCTTTTAAACAATAGCTAGTCTGTTAGCGCTGGTCAGTAGTAGTACAAATTCAATAAAACATTTGTTTCTTGAAAATTTGATCACGATTTAAATACAGTATTTATTTTTAATATTACCGATATGTCATCGAAAAGAAAACGTGTTGTATTATCATTAAAAGACAAAGTATTTGTTTCGATTATCCGGATTTTTCCTTATCCGGACTACCTTCATCCCCAATTAGTCCGGATAATCGAGGTTCTACTGTATTTTTAATAATCATGCAATTAAAAAGAAAAATATAAATTTTGAAATAATTTATTTCTTTATTTATTAAAATTATTTATTTAAAAATAGTTTTACATCAGATAAACTTAAATACGTTGATAGGAATAGATTAGACTCACCGTAGAAGTAATAACAAAACAGGGATGGACAAAATATAAAATTGAAAGTCACAGGCTAAAAACCAAGTATGCTCCAAACACTGAAAATAAAATACGTTAATAGTTAACTTTTTTTATTAGTTGTTAACTAATAGTTTTAAATAAATATTGTGAATTAAAAAATTTAACATTCTCGCGAATTGCATTTTTTAATGGAAAACAAAAATTTATATCTTTCTTAAATCGCTTACATCTTAAATGTATTATTTATTATTTACAATCATGTGACAATGCGGATAGACACACGTATCACTTCTTCCATTAATAAAATAATAGGAGTAATAATAATTTGTTAAGCAACGAAATGCAAAGTATCCCATCTGTAACAGAGATCTTGTACTTTTTTGGAGTGTAATCGTACAAACTATACATTATAACTATACTGAAGAAGCTGGTCAATTTAAAGTACCAATAACCATTGATGACACCGAATGGATGGACAAAAGCCGTTGTTTTGAAACAATGGGAACATCTATCCCTCTATATTGTATCCGTCATTAAAATTATTATCATTAGTTTAGACCTGGTCTAAACCAGTGATAATGATAGCGCATCAGAAAGCAAATAATGAATGGAAACTAGATTTGTGTGCCCGGTAAACAATCTACTACGATTGTAATAACAGTTAGATAAATACAATTTCAATTAAAAATAAAAATAGAATGTGCACAAAGTAACAGAATTTAATGTAGATCGAGCATTATAGATAGGCCAAAATTATGCGTGCTATTTTTTATAGTACTTTACAAATATGTAATCAATACAATTGTTTGTAAAAATAAGACTACAATTTCTATTTATGTACTTGCCCATTATCCGAAAGAAAAATTTAGACCACTCTAGATATTACAAATCGCCTTGCCGATAGATATTTCTATACAATAGTATTATCATCCAAATTCTTACTTTAAATAACGGATTAGTCACAGATAATTAATAGACATAAGAACAAAACTTTTACATACTATTTTGATATTTTGACATTTGACATTTCTTGTACTTGTGCCCATTGTTATAAAGAATTTTTAATGCCGAATCTAACGTTTCAATCAATTTTGAACTGTTTAGAAAAGTCTTACTGAAAAAAACTTTGCCTGATAAACTCAATAATTGTATTAAAAGAGCAAAAAAAAAAATGTTTACTGAAAATTTTCTTTATAATAAAAGATGTTGTAGAGAAACATTTTAATGCACGCTTTTTCTACATTGTTAATAAAATAAAAGTCCTGTATATTTTTTAATACGATCTATTGTTAAACAAAATGAGTAAGTTGCATATCCAAGGCATTATTTAATTATGAGCAATAGTATTTATTATAAAGATAAATGTTTGAAGCTAGTAGATAAAGTTTTTCCGATATGGTTTTTGGTACGATTTTAAATCTAATTTCTTAATTCGATTCAGAATTAAAAATTCTCTAAAACAATTGCAACAGAACAGGATGACACTTTCAATCTTTAAAACTGAAAGTCTAAATGTAAAAGTAACTGAGACAATGCAACTTTTGCATCCATTAGTACTTTCTAATTTTCAAATTTCTATTTCTATTAGAATTAGAGATATAAGCTCGACACTGAGTTTCTAGTATTCACTGTATATGTGAAACCAATACGTCAAAATATATATTAATTTCACGACATTGAAAATGGTAACTTATATAACTATTTAAATGACGTATTTAAGACGAATTTTTCTTGAAAATTAGAAAATAATGAAAAAGAAAATTCCGAGAAGCTCATTTTGATTGTATCGTGTAGAAAATTTAAAATACTGGCATTGAAAAAGTTTAAATTATTTTAACTGAATTACTCATTAAGTTATAATTTAGAGGATTCAAATTCTTACCGATTCATCTAAAGAAATGAAATTATTAATAAATAATACATTGGTCCACCAATTGTGTCGACAAGCGGTAATTTCTTTATCCACTAATTCGTGCCATAAAGGACCGGATCCCATCCACGGCACAAAAAATAATATACATATCGTTATAATCAAAACAGGTGCAATTCTGAAAAAAAATGTAATTATTATATTTTATAAGAGAAAAAATGGATTATTATTAAATATGAAAACTTACCTCCAATATCGATGGAATATGAATAAAGGAATGTTGATAGTTTTCAATTCTTTGCATTTTTTCATCACTGTATAAGTTACAAGAAGACCACTAAAGAATACATAATTTTACATACTTAACAATACAAAATTACATTTAAACTGATGTAAATATTTTTATAATTATATTTAATTTCATTTTTATATAAGGACACAAGTTAGTTACACAAATATAATCTATATGTTATGTTTGATTGAGTGCATAGGTATGTTTACGCGTGTGTACGTATGTATGTGTGTGTGTGTCATCAAATATAGTTTTTTAGTGTAATTTATAAGTAGCTAAATTTGATTTCAAAATAAAATAATAAAAATAAGAGATTACATTTTACATTGGTGAGATAAATTAAAACAAATATGAATGAAAACTATTATCTGTTAGAAAAAAAGAAATAAATTCAAATCATAAAATTTATGAATTAAAATTTTGTCTCCGTCGATTTAAGGGCAAATATATTATGTAACAAATGTAAATGTTTTTGATATAAAATTAAACCTTTTATTGAAATTTTAAAATATTTAGAAACAATTAATTAGCTCAAATTCTGAAAAAATTGAAAGATGTAGAGCAACTGAATTTCCCGATTCTTCGTCGATTCGTTACTAATGACGCTTTCGTAATATACAGCTGTGGCTTAAATTTCAAAATTATTAATCAAATTATAAAAGTCAATTCTCTTTATGAAATATGTATTACTTGTTAGTCGAATTACATTTGTGTAATTTCAATTTTTATTTTAAAATAGACTTAATTTGGACTTGCAAGGTACTGTACTTGGGGATAAAATTCGAGACAAAAGAATTCTCGAAAGATACTGAAACGCTTCAATTCCAGGATATGCAGTAGATATGTATTTTTACTCTGCCAGTGATAGAAACACATTTAAAATGTGGAGAAATAAAATATACTTTTTATATACACCCGTCTCTAGACAGGATTAGGAAAAAATCCGAGATAATCCCGGTAAACCGGGACATCTGGCAATCCTAATTTAATTTCATTAGCAGTCACAAATCAAACTAAACACAAACTGAGAACGCGTTACTCTTAAATAAATTTTAACAATAGCATATCGTACATAAATTTAATAAAATATATATTTTATTTAAATTTGAAATAAATAAATTTCCTCGGAAGAACAGGTAAAGATTTTGTAAAGAATATCATTTTTGAAAAGTTTTTTAAATCATTTAAATTACTAAACAAGTTTTTGAAGTTATATAGTATATTGATTCAGATTATATTTTTATCTTCTGAAAACCAAGCGCTTCAATAACGAAGATAAATAAAACCCGTTTACTTATCTAACAATAATACAGTTTGCAGTATTCCGTCGTTTGTGACACTATGCATTTTGGGCACCTGCCTCTCGGCATTTGCAGTTTAAACGACGTTTATGTCCAAGTAATAGATCTACAATTAAAAACTGTTGTACTTATCTATATGTTTTATTACAACACTACTTTTTTTTTCTGTGTACGTTTTATTAATTTTTTCTTTTTGTCATAATCATCGTTTCATGAAAAGAATCAGTCAGATAAATGTAAGAAAAGGTTTTATACGAAAAGATGTAAATAAGCAGGCCTACAATATTTTAAATAGATTATTATAGCATAGATTTTATTTAAATTGTCTGCTTCGACATACAAATGACGATAAGAAGTAAGCGTCTGAAATGCATATTGCCACCGAGAACGAAATGCTGCAAATTATATTATTAATTGAATGAATAGATTAATTTCTAGAATCTTGCTTTGCACATTGAGATGAGGAACGAGTGTTCGATTTCAACAATATAAAAATAAATAAGAAATACATTGTGGTTCTAGAGAAAGTATTTAAATTATTCTGTATTTAAATTATTTGTCATTTTAAAATATATCGCTGTTCTTCTCTTTCGACAAATAAATATTCATATATTAAATGTTTTTCTCTTTTGTATTTCTCCGTTTATGTTTTATTTTCATAATATGCCATATTGTTTTCCCCCAAAATAATAATAAAAAAAGTACAAATTTACATGTTATATAAAATATAACAGAGCATAACTATACAGTATTTTAAAATATAATAATGCCTAGTCAGTGTTTTACCATAAAAGCTTTTATTTACTATCCATTATTTTTCTTTCTGTTTTATCAATCCTTTAAAACTCATAACACGAAAACGAATTACTCTACCTTATTTTCTAACTATAGGTATACAGATTCATAGGTTTACAGTTACAAGGTGATTCACCTTGGAACAGCTGTAAACCTATAGTTAGAAATCAAGGTAGATATGTGATATACTCATTAACATATTCAGATATTTGAATAAATTGTAATAAAATTGTATAAAATAACATTCGTATTTAATTACCTGATAAAAAAGAAAGAGTCCACGCTTAAAGTTCCGTTCATGATCACGGTAAAGGGAAAAGAATCTGGAAACTTTGGTAATGATAACACACTACCTGTAAAAAAATTATTTTAAACTTTAAGATGATATTATTAAATGAATTTCCAATAATGCTATATTTTTCAACAAACTAAATATGTTTCAGACATCTTTTCTTAAACATATCTTGATTTAACATCGTTTTACTCAATGTGAAATTAAATTTGTATTAAATTTAATTTAAAAATTTTGTTGTGAAACTATCTTTGATATAATTTTATTATTAAAAGATATAAACATTATTTTTTGAAATATGTATTAAATGACAGGATTCAACATTTATAGATATTTGTTAATAATTAATGCAAAGAGTTAATTAAGAAATCTATTTCAATTCCACTAATAAATCTGAGTTATATCCTCAGATATATCGACTATCGTATGTTGTTCTGTAATTAACCCTATCCGAGTTAATTAATATATGTTACGAATTGTAAAGTTCTTTTCTTTATTTCATTTCAATAAACCAAGTGTATATACCCGTATATGTAAGTAAACACGTCTAAAACCGAACCTTCTATAAGATTAAAATCTGCTTAAATCGAAAATAAATGTCGAAACTGAATGATTTAGTATATAAAATACTATTGTATCAATATTATAAGCCGAAAATCTGTCGAACGCGAAAAGAAAAATTTTTGGGGTACCAAATACATAACGTGTGACTGAATAAAGCGGGAATTTTCGTCACAACAGCAGAATAATTCTAAATCATAATGATCTAACTCGCGGGAATTATGGTCCACTTCTTGATGACGAGTTGTAGATATTTTTTTTTCCTTTGTTACGACTGTATTTTCATTGTTTGTAAAGTAGTTAACTGTAACAATGGAATGCCGCTGTTTCTCCCCTCTAGAAGATTTAATAAGGTAATAACTCCTTATAAAATGGAACCTGTCAAAATGGAAAATTTTGGCCGCTAAATACGCCGGATAATTCTGTTTCAGACAAGTTTTACTGTATTACATTAAAAGTTACATTTTATGTTGTTATCTCCAACATTTTATATTGATAAATGCCACGGAATGGTAATTAAAATAATTAATCTGCCTCAATGAGAGCATTCGAATGTTTTTCATAAAGTAGAAAAATGTATTTAAGTATCTATTAGTTATCACTCTTACTGTTACTTATTTCCACTAGTCAGTTTTAATTATTGTAAAAATAAACATATTACTTACGCACAAGTTCGAAATTAGTATTACTGTAAGTATGTCCTAGAATTATCCAAGTAATAGTTAAAAATTTCATTCCATGCAAAATATCGAGCGAATCCGAAGAATGAGTCGTATCCAAAATCTTCCTGCCATTTCGAAAAATATTGAAATTTTCTAGAAATTCATTCACTTTAACTAAAACATTTCAAGGAGCTTTTTCAGTTGTATATAATTAATTAAATCTTCATTTTATTACTTTCATATAACACATAACTTACCATTATCGTAGTAATTTGCACGTCGTGCTCGCATTTTACATAAATACATAGAAGTACCTATTATATTCATCGATAAAAGTAATCCAATGAAAACTCTGTAAAAATTAAAAAATAAACTTTTATTATTTCATTTGTATGTTATTATTCAAATACACATTCATTTATACATTTACGCATATTATTTAATTTATCAATTTAAGTCTGGCTATATATTTAAAGTCTTTCTTCGCTAATGATAACACACTTCCTGTAACTATATACCTGTGACGAGAAAAATATTCTAGATAAATTCATTTCAAAAATTATTTCCTGTACTCTGAACTTACGCTGGCAATATTTGGAACGTTTGCATTGTGAAATGTTGTTTTGTTTCGCATTGAGGTATTGTGATATTCAGTCGAAATATTTCTCCCGCTATAAAATATTAAATTGATTAGCAATTTGGTTTACAATATTCCATAACTCATCTGATTAGAAATACAGAAAGATTCAAAAGTCACAGAAATTTTAAAAAATTAATAACTCACAAACTATTTACGGTAAGACGATGCGGTTTTCACAGAAATGCTTAAAAAGAAGCGGGTTTTTTAGATGTAATAAAAATTTCTGTGACTTTTGAATCACCCCCGTATATTTCTAATTACCTTTCCTTGCAAAGCTCTCTACATCTTTGCCATTGCACGTCGATGGCAAGCAGATGCCGTATCTGAACGAAACGTAGTAGAAGACTTGAGCCATTTGGCTGGCCGATGCCAAAATCTAAATAAACAATACGAAACTGTGGAATATAAAAAAATACATGATATTTTTCAGAAATAACAAATTCCTACGCTATTATTTGACGACACATTAGAAAAGTTTTCTAGAGGTTTGTCTAAACGATACTTTTTAGGCCGAGGTGGAAGTGGCGGTTTGATTTTTATTGTGCAATATTGTCCACTGAAATTTGGATGCAAAGAATCAGAGGAAGGAATCTCGCTATCGATGCACTGATCGTAAGAACCGAGAGAAGTTAACGAGCCACTGATCATTCCATCTGTGGGTTTAGCTGATGCATCTAGCACTGAAATAGATAATAAGAAAATATTATTATACAAAATGTTTAGTATGCTATAATTTAACGAATAATTATAAGATAACCGAAAAGTTATTTAACTATTGTTTTATCTGTTCCAGGAACACTTAGGAATATGAATCGTAAACAGTTTAGGACAACTGTCTTTGCGCAAAATTGATAAAGTCAGTAATTAAAATATTTCAATAAGAAAGCAATTTAGTGTTTGCCTCGGTAAAATGACTTTTGGGCCATTCTGTATTTTCGGTCTAGAACAACGGTTCCCAACCTTTTTCGGGTAGCGACCCCCTTTTTATAAAAGCCAAGTGACCCGCGACCCCGATACAATTGAAAAAGGTATTTTTAATAAGGTAATTAAAAAACAATGAAATTAGTTTTTTAGTATAATTTATTTTAAATTATGTTTAATAATTAATTTAATGAGATGGTTGACATTGCATGTATTATTAACCAGCCTCAAAATTCGCGAGTGAGATTTTGTTAACGCCAACCTCGTGTCGTTCTCAACATTTAATTTATTCCTCTCAAAACTCTCAACACGTGATTCAACCAACTGTGACAGAACAGCGTACTCAGATTACACTTATTTTAATTTTTTAAAAATATATGAAATTATTCAAACTTTAAGACACCATTAAAAATAAATATTGCATTATAGTGAAAATTTTGTTTTAGTTTACTGCATAAGTTGGCGACCCCACAGAAAACCCGTCGCGACCCCCTTCTGGGTCGCGACCCATAGGTTGGGAACCCGTGGTCTAGAACATGTGTTAAAACAATTTTTTGAAGCGATAAATATCAAGAAGATTAAGGTGTTTTCATGTGAAGTGTGATTCGGTCAGTATTCTTTCCTATAGTTTTTTATTTATAGAACTGCAACCTACTTATTTACTTAGAATCGACGTGCAGCTACATATGAATTAATACCTGTAAATTCACGCACATCAGAATTAGAAATAAAACTTAAAAGTAGTTTGTAGCTTACTTGTCCAAAACTAATTTTCAAATTTCATTAATTTTTTTTCTATTTTTTATAATAATACAAAATTTTCTGGGTAAACCAATTTATTTCGAAGTGTTTGAAGTAAATTAATTAGTTTACTTTCGTCGTCGAATTACTGTTATAAATTTAATGCACAATTTTAATTTACAGTACGAAATACACAGTAGTATGTTTTCTTCTAAGAGATACTATCGTTATTTTTGGAAAAATAACAGTATTAATTTAACGATTATTTATTGTGACATGGTCAAAATGCCGGGCTGCAAGTTATAATCATATTTTTAATTTATTTAATTTAAAATATATGCTCTCCACCGCAAATTAGTCGTGTCTTGCCCCTGTACATCATACTTTTCCGTTAGCAATGAAGTCGTTTCGGTCATCTATTTAATTCCTCCCGGAAAACAATTTTTGAATTGAAATAACGTGACTTACGGTTTGCATCAGCAAGCATTTATATAGTTAATCGAGGCCTCCTGCCTCTAAAGTTTCCATTTCTAGTGTCGTCTCTCGTGTATCTAACCCTATTCTCGAGATGAAGAAAAGACAGACAGAAGGACGGTCAGGCGACAGGGAATTTATAGGTCTACAATTTTTTCGAATTGCAGCCCAATTATAAATTATTTTATACGTACTTATAAGCTATATCAGTCGAAATTAAAATAATTAAATATAGGCTTACAAAAATTTGTTTTCTATCACAGAGACTAAATTTCTATTGTAAATATCAGAGGCGGCTGGTCATTAGGAGCCTGGCTCCACCAATAATTTTATCAAACAAATCAAATTAGTCACCGACAAAAAGCGGCTCGATTAACAAATTATTCATTATTTTTATAAACTGTTTGTTATAAAAATAATAATTTTCCACAAAAATGAATATTTGTTATGGCATTCTACCATACTTGGGCCGGCTCCCATATAAATAACGCTAGGAGATATTGGGCATGGAAATGCGTATCATTACTGGCAGTTACCTTTGTAGGCGATTACGTGTTGTGGGCCAGCTAGGTCGGGCCCGTTCTCAAACTATTCTTAATTAACTGTGTGTGGGAGTCTACGCGTTAGTACACGAGTACTACACGTTTTTGAAATCTTTTGAGGCTTATATTTTTACTGTTTCATTAATTTATAATTATTACGTTTACTTTTTCCATTTTATTTCGTGATTTACAAATGATCTTGTACATCAAGTAATTTGTTTTGAATTCAGTTAATGATTCATAATCACACGTGTACCCAAAACACATGAAACGTGGTTAAGAGAATTTTGAGTTAGATTATACTGTACAGTACATTATAAATAACTATATATAAAGTCTAGAGCAAGAAAAAATATAATTATAATTAAATGTTCTACGTCAAAATTAAACATCTTATTAAAAATTTCTCGATTCGATAATTTAATAACGCTCATACTGCCCAAGAAATCTCAGTATTTTGGTAATGATTACTCATTTTAGTTCTGTTTTATGTTTATTAAACATAATGAGTGAGACAATTGACACAAAAAAAACAATTATAACACTCTTTTATTTATTTCTATTGTTTTTCGTTTTTTTCGGAAGAATGAAAGACAATTTTAAACGAATATTCTCGAAAATATTATAGATCCAATAACGAAAATAGACTTTTATGATTTTATTGCGAAGAAGAGCTTAATAATTATCAAATTTTTATCATCATACGGTAAACCTAGCTGCTTACTAGATATTAGATTCAGTTATTCAATCTAAAGTATTTTTCATTTATTTTGAAGCACGTAATTGAATCCTATTGGCTACTATCTAAAATTTGAATTCGGTCGAATCTTTTCTTCGTATTGCGCTTGACGAATGTAACGAAGGCTAATATTTAAGAAAAGAAAGTTAAGGAAGTGAGGTCAGAAATCCATGACTCTTTTACAGAAAAAATTATCACACGAGGCAGCTCTGCATTGTCCATTAATATAATAAATTGTTTTAGGCCTACATAATTTCAATCGTAATTAATTTTCACTGTAGACGAATATAAAAAGTTATCTATTGAACATCAATGTCACCGATGCTTGTCTATATTAAATACCGTATATTATTCTACAAAGGATTAAATCGATTTCATGATACACGAACGTTAATCGATTAAAAATTCGAATTAAACTGAAAAACTTAAAATTTATTTTAAAATTATCAATTCAAATTTAGCATTTTTTCCGACAAATAATACCCATGGTAATCCAAAACTCAGTTAACCATTGTAGCGCCTAAATTGAGGTCGAAGTTTCATATTTAATACACAAGTTAGCGATTCGTATTTATATGTTTACTTTGAACACAAAACTAAACACGGTTAACTAACTTTCGAGCTACCTATACTACTGCCCTTAAAACACACTATGCAAGATTTGAAAATCCACACCTAGATATCATAATGAATAGGCCTACAGTATTTTCAACAATATAACTAATATGTTATTGTTTTGGCTTCGTGTTTAATAATGAGAAGAGTAATAAGTTTGTTAAAAATAAATTAGTTTAATAAAGAAATTCCACATAATATTATTAGTAAAAATTCTGTGTAATGCATGATTTCTATTTTATAAAAATTCCATAAGAGACTTTATTCAAATAATGGGCGTGTGTTTACGGTGTTTCCACATCAGTTATTCGTGGTTTAAATAAGCACGAACGACTGATGTCTTATCAAAATAAAAATAAACATTACTTCTGAAAATTCTACCTAACAATTTTAGTAATTGCGTTTTTCTAAAAAGTCAAAATTAGTTGATTATGTACTAAATGATATTAAAGACATTTTATGTAAAATATAGTCATTATTTTAACAGGAGGGATGAGCTGAAAGCAAAATTATGAATCACCAATGATGTAGCCACTAATGGAATGTTTACAAATGAGAAGAATGCTCAGAACATATTAATAAGATCATCTCACCTATTATACTTAATGGACAATAGTCTTGTTTAAAAATTCCATCAATACTTTTTTCAGATAATCGAATCTCTATATTTGTAAATAAATAATACGTCTTTGCACTTTCCGAATGCGCGAAGAGAAATGATTAATCCTATATTTAAAATAATGTTTGCGGGTATATATTTTATTACAATAGTAACGATTACTTTCTAGGTTTTATAAAGTGTATATATTTATAGATTTTATAAGTTAGAGACTTTCGAGAAAGCAAAGAATACCACTATACTCACTAGTAAATGCCCACGGTTCCATGTTTTTGATACCATTTAATAGACGATTTAAATCTCTGGAACAGTTTTTCGAAGCTTGCGAAAAGATAGTAGCTAGAAAAGGTTCTAGACGATGATAGCCACTATTTATCAAACGTCGAAAATTGTGCTCTAGGCGCGTCCATTGTTTATCGATATCTTCCGCTCGATACGTGTCACTCGTCCACAGCAAAAGTATTAAGATCGCGCTTCGGAATGCCATGTAACTCAAAAAACTGATAACAGAAATGGCCGTAGCTAATTTCCTCTGCCGGTTCCTGTGGCGAACAGACTGCACCTAGTCATAAATGGGTCAAGCTCGCTTCCGCCAATGGCGTTTTTCATGCCGTTTTTGCCTGCTCTCTCTGCAGCAAACTTGTCAAATATGTTTAGAGAAAGAATCTAGTCAAAATAAAGACGTTATAATTAAAGAAAAATTATTGAACTCGTGAATAAAATCAATATTTAATAATTGAAACGTACACAAATCCGTAATAAAATATTTTTTGCAAAAAATTCAGTAAACAAAAGTACAGTTTATATCAGTGATACCTGTTGAATTTAAGCCAGTATTTTTAAAAATTCGTTTTACAGAGTAAGTAATCGATAAAATCTATACTATTTTATACGAAAAATCTATTTATAAATTTTATTTTATACCGAATGTCAAGGTTTAATACGGGAACTATAAACAAATTTAAAAAGTAAGAATGAATTGGAGCATGAATTAAAATCTATAATATATGCCGGATGGTACGAAATAACCGTAATTTGTGAATATGAATCATAAACTATGTTTAAAAGACCATCACCAAGAACAATCGACGTGGGGAAAATCAAGATATTTTACTCGTTTCTAGTATTTTTAATGTGTAAATTTATCAGCCATCTTTTTAAACGTATACTTTTCTTTTACAAAATAATTGAAAACACGGGAACAGCGCAATAATTAATTTATAAGTAATAGAAAACTTGAATAGGAACAATTTAAGGCGCGCGATTTCTGTCATAGCGTTTTCTCGTCTTCCTGTTTTCTTATATTAACAGAAACGCGTGATCAATTCGTTTAGCATCTTACAACTTAGGTAAAAAAAAGTAACGAAGTTGTTGTCAATGACATTTTCTAAGGAATAATCAAATTAAATTCCGAAATATTCCAGCTATAGCCGAACAACTAGTATTTGATTAGTTACAAGAAAACACACTTTTAGTCTTTACAACGGTTAACTGACTTTTGGAAGTTTTTCGTACTAACAATATAAGGAATTAAAGAAATATTTTAAGATTTTTTAACATAAATTACATTATAACGTAAAAAACATTAATTTAGCATTTATCTTCTTTCCATTTATTTAAATAAAATAAAATAAATTTAAAAAGTCTTGATTTTATAGATATCGCAAGTAATACGTCACCAAAGGGCGCGACTATTGTCAAAGCGTTAAAAGAAAAAAAATCATAATGGGTGAAACTTTTATTACATGCCCGAGAGGTTAGGTCGTTTGAAATAACGTAATTCCAGGTATAATAATTCAAATGCTCCAGGCATCGCAAAAATTAGCAATAATATAGCCTACTAAAGATTGTCTGCTGGCGAAAATGATGAGAGTGTAAATATTTTTATAATAATACTAAGATTTTCATGAATAATTTAATAATTAAGGCATAATTAAAGCTGTCTACGGTTGCTACATCTTTATTTATGCAGCATCGTATAATTTGTAAAATGAAATGGCACAATTATACTAGCCTATATACATAAGACCTAGTAAACAGCTACATTCTTTAACTTGGACTTTCAATATGAAAAGTTTAAATCGATGAATATAACTGTTTATGGGGCCTTCGGATGTCGAGAAAAGTTCCTAGTATATAAAATATATATGCAGTATATATATATTGAATATCTGCAAACATAACTGCGGAAAAATGCATTATAAACTGCATAATTTAATAATAAGTGTACTATTTTAGAATTTGAATTTTATCGTGTTTATTTATAGCTAGTAGCTAAAGTGTCTTGTATACTAGAGTCCTAAATAATATTTTTTTTAAATCATAGATAATTTTAGCGATATCTCGAGGCGTTAAATAAAAGTAAGATATCGATAAGAACACATAACAATATATATTATATTTATAAATAATGATTAAAGTCGACTCTAAAATAAGTTAAATTTACTTGTACGCTAAGTAACTCATTTATTAATAACATTTATATANATAATAGTAATTAATTTGTACTATCTACTAACACTTATTTTTATTTAATGTTCTGACAATAAAAAAACTACAAAACAATAAAAATTGAATCTCATATGCCAATTCTTATTTATTTATTTATAATCGTTAGACCCATATATAGGCCTATATATATATATATATATTTAAATTAAAAAATGAAAATATAAAAATATTTTTACAATCAGAAAACATGGGAAGTTTTGCTTTATAATTTTATAGCATTCACATTATAAATAACAAGTATTAAAGGTAAATCTTCACGGGAGGGTTTAGAAAACGTCATTGAGGAAAGATTTAATTATTAATAATTATTTTTAAACTTTAAAGGTTGTTGCGCAGTTTTTCGTTTCTTCGGTAGCGCTACAACGAAAACGAGTTTAATAGACAGGAGGTCAAGAAACTAATCGACACTTAAAAATTTCAAACAGCAAAGCACATCGACAACACGCAAACCTACATCGTCTTTAGAGGGAGCAATAAGGGAATATCTACCCTCAGGTTTTAACCCGATAAGGGCCTCGTTAAAAATATTTCTACATTGACAAAATTCGAAGGAAACAACACAAACTTCCTACGAAAAAATTATAAATACAGATTTGCTTAAAAGTCAGTTAATGATTAACTGACTGCTCTAATTCACAAATTTTATTACGTATTCTACGTAGTACAAATTCCACTAATTTTTTTTAACTCATTGTTCTAAATTCAGTTTACAATACGTATTTACAATATATATTTTATTCTATGTGCATCTGGAGCACGCGGAATAAAACACCGTTAACTAACTTTTGGGCTGCTCCGTACAAACACATTCGTTCGGCACTTTTAAACTCTCGGTTCCGCGAACACTAAGAGGGCTTTTGTTCGCACTCGTGGTATGATTCGGCCATCCCTACAACGAGAGCGGAGAGTCCGACTTATTGGAATCTACGTGAATATTTCTGATCCGACCGAGACACGAACCCGAAAGAGGCAAGCTAGTATTTTTATCTTTAATACTTTTATTAAAATGCAATATAAATGACACCGTTAAAACCTGATAAAAATTGCTTTAATGTTCAGACTGTTTTCGTTATTGCTATTCTGTTAGTGTTATTCTACAGGAAAATAAAATTATTCGACAACGAAACTAAACGAAATAAAGATAATAAGCATGCGATATAAAGAGTTGTTATCAGCTAATTAACTTAACTTGGAGTCATTTCTTAACTTATAGACAAATTTCTTTTAAATTCTGTGTAAATCCCGTAATCAATACAAACGAACGATCAAATTTATCTTAAAAATTTACCCTTCTGTTTTATCCTCTTAATTTACCATTAAAAATAATGATAAAATTACGCATAAAGTTAACTTAATAGTTCAATGTGAGCCGTTATACTTGTTTTTTATATAGCTTACAACGATAATTATGAAGATATATGTCAAGTTTAACTCAATTATGCATATGAAGTAATAGAATAAAATCGTTAAAGAAAAACTGTAGATGACAAACTGCATATTTTTCAAATAATAATACGGAATAAAAATTATTGTCGTATTTTTGTAAATATATTTTTTGCCACGTCTAATATTACAATTGCTGCAATACATGACTCGATACAAATCTCCGTTTAAAATATTAGAATAAATCAGTGAAGAATCGTGTTAAGATGCGAAGTGAATCTCGAAGAAGCTTAAAGTTTCGTGTCTTAACGTCAATTTTTTTTCGAAAATAATTTACCGGGGTACAACGTAAGGGAGAAAGTGAGATGCCAGTAACATTTTTGTATTTTATTGTGATAAGAGGTGCTTGTTCTGTCTCCCATTAATCGACACACTATTTGAAAATTTATACAATATTACAGCACTTCTTTCTTTCACGGTATGCATTTTGTGCCTTCGTCTCTTATCAGTTGCCACTTGCCTGTCGCAAATAATACCGATCGTGTTCTTATTCAATACGATTAAAAAATACTGATGAAAAGAAAGAAGTGCTGTAAAATTTTAATATTATTTGAATAAATGGTTTGTAAGTATTACATTATCTGTAATTACACCAAACGCAAAAATAGAAAATACAACTTGGTTCCAAAAGAGAAAATCTGAGAGAAGTTAATCACAATGCATGTGCAAAGCGGTGCCCACTGATACAAAAAGTGAGGAAGATGTTAATTGCTAAAACGGACCATGGCATACAGTAATATACGAAGTTATAAAAATAGAATGTTAAGAATAGTTCAGATAAACGATCTATTAGTGGTTCTTTCGCACTGTGTAAAACACTAGAGAAAGTAGACACTTACAGAAAAATTCCAATTTCAAGCATTAGAAAGCTAATAAGGAATGAAACAAATAAAGAGTGGCAAGATAGATGGTCGAACACTAATAATGGACGACATACGTTCTGCCTTCTGCCAAGTATTGAAAAACGAATAAAAGATTTACCATGGATTTCGGTTGACTTTCTAAGCAGCCAATTATATACTGGACACTGCAACAGTAATGAGTACCTAAAAAGAATTGGCAGAAGACATACTGCAGCTTGCGACTGCGGTGAAGAAGAACAGAATTTAAATCACCTATTCTTTGACTGCTATAGATACGAGAGAGAAAGAACAGAACTTTTCTTACTATACCAGCAGTTCTGTAATATACCCAACCCAGACTTACACAACCTAATACAAAACAAAAATCTTACTCAGGAACTTTTAGCGCGAATCGGATGTAGTGTCGATGCGCACATCGATTGCAATAAACTCGTTGTGCAAACGTAGCAATGTCATTGTTCTTCATTCGTCCGTTTTTGTACGAATCGACAAACAGCGAGTGACGAAAGTGAGTTGGAGAAACCAACGATTCGATTTGCATACATTGACGCAAAACTAGACGTAAAAGAACGCATTAGCAGGAATCGAACCCATGCCTCCAAAGACACTGGAGCCTTAAACCAGCACCTTAGACAGCTCGGCCACCCTACCGACTGCTTGCATCCTTACAAAAATTTTAACTGTGTACGCTGACTGACACTTCGAAAACATAAGGGATAAAGTTCTCCTATAGTAACCAAGCCTTTGCCACAGAAATTGGCTACGAGTAATTAATTTCCTGCGACTATGTGGTCTCGGCTTTGTTCCATTCTATAGGGGTGATTTGCTAATTATGACTCAAATTCACGATCGGATATATTTCGTTCTATTTGTCAAATATAAATCAAATTTTGAAAACTGGTATAATTCGCTTTTCTTTGCATTCTAAGAACGTTTGAGTTCGAGTGTTCTAAAAGTGAAAGCAGCAGTTGCGAGCGAAACTGATGTACACACCAAACTTCTTTGCGATGAAAGTTTTCTATCCCGCGATGTTGTAAAAGCTTTCAAGAAGAATTGAATTGAAGTTTTCCAGTCTACATGTATCTGAGTTTTTAGTAACAAAACGAAAAAGCGACAAGCGAATCCTTCTGGTGAGTTACACCCAACTTTTCGAAGGGCTCGCAAATCTCGGAGTAAGGATAAGATAAGGAAAGTTAGGAAATGATTAGAAAAGAAAATTTATCTAGACAGAGGACCATTGCAAAAGGTCTGGGTATATCTCAGTTCACAGTTAACACCATTATACACAAAGATCTGCAAGCAGCTACCAAAAAAAGTATCTGAACATCGCCTCACATCTGCGCACAAATAGAACCGAAAGACTAACGCAAGGAAGCTCTACGAGAGGCATCTGGCTGGAGGAAAAAGCGAGTACGTGGCAACTCTGGATGAAACGTATATATATATATATTTTTTTTTTTTCGAGTTCCATTGAAGTAATTAAGGTATATATACCTTGATTACTTTAATGGAACTCGAAAAATTCTATACGTGCAGCCCGGACAGGAAGTGCCAGAAGAATGGCTTGTCAAATGTCACGAAAGATGGCCCGAAGGATTTATGATTGTTGGAGAAATGACGGGCCGGGGAACACTTCCTCTTATCACAGTGCCAAAAACTGTGAAAGTTAACGCTAATTAATATGTGGAGAACATTTTGAAACCATATTTGGAACGTGAAATTCCAAATCTGTATCCTGAAGAAAAAGCCAAAGTGACTCTTCACTATAATAAAGCTTCTAGTCACACAGCTACATATAAAACCGCTTATCTCCAAAAGATGAAGGCTGACGATAGATCAAACCACATTTTTGCAGCGGACATATCCACCAAAGCACCCGACATCAGCCTCATAGATTTATTTGGATTTGGTTTCCTGAAGTAACGTCTTTTTCTTCGTAATGCTACATTAGATGGTATTTGAAAAGTAATTCAACAGGAGTGGTAAACAGTATCAACCGAAACTTGCAAGAAGGTCTTCGAATCGTCGAAACGGCGATGTCGTGCTACGAGCCAACGAGATGGAAAAGGTATCGAGCAGATAAGGACAATTCATCGACGGGTGCTTCGTGAAAGAAACTAAGCGAACAAATTAATCACGATTAACAAATCATTCTCTGTAAACTAATAAACTAATACTTGTAATTAGCTACTTTAGCAGAAGTTTTGCTTAATTAAATGGTTTTAAAATGGTTGATTTTGCGACTAGCTACTTCTGTTAATTGCAAAAAATAAAACAAATTTATACAAAATATTAAAGGTTTTTTTAAGGTTGAAATTTCTAATATAGAGAGTCCGTTCAAAAGCTTAAATTCTTAGTTCTTTTATATTTTTAGGAAGTGTAGTAGTAGTAGTTAGTTATTTTCTTTTAGGAAGACAGGAGAGGAAGCAACCGGTTAAAAGTAGTAGCGATAGTGACAGCGGCAGAGAAGAGAAATCGAAGCAGAATGTTGGCGCTTGCACAATTGCATCTACGCCTGCACATATTGCTGTTTTAAGTGCATCGAGTGGATCTTCGCTACCAACTGGTTCTGGCGCACAGGATCAAACGTATTTTTATAATGATGTGGGTTGGACTTGGTTTAGTACGACCTCATCTCAAAACACGGAAGTTTTAAAACACTGTTGGTCTCATAGTTCTTGAAATATAATAACAGTTGGAAGAAAACCTGTTAACAATAAAAAATCTTACGAGCGATCTTCCCTTCGTAGAGCGATACAGTATATATTACGTAAATCACTAAGCCAGTGAAGATAATACTATATATACCGAATACAGTTTAAACAGCATTATCTTCCTCGGCTCAACGATTCGTTCGTTTATTTAATGACACGAAATATTTGACTAGAAATCGATTCCATACAGAAAAAAAATGCAACAAAGCGTCAAAAAAAGGTATGGGAAAAATCCGAAATCTCGAAGAAAATATTTTACGCTCTACATCAGCGTTTATCCTCGATTCCTCGCAGAATGTCATAAATCGGTAATCTTACGGCCGAGGTGTACGGTAAAAGCGTAAAGACACCAGTCTTCCGCTCCGGTAATCCGGGTTCGAATCCATTATTGGAATGAATTGAAAACGAGAAGAAAAGAAAAAAAAAAAGATTATCGTTGTAATTACTTACGCGCGACTCACTTTATCCGAGTTCAATAAAAATGATACCAATGGATTTCAAACCATCATTTTAGCCACTTTATTTTAATTCGTGTGACACAATCGTACTTTTATAATTTACCGAAACTTTGAATAAGTTATCGATTATCGGGAAATTTTGCGCTAAAGGCTTTGTCGCGATAACTTGGGATTTCGAGAAGTCGAGAATGAAACTCCACGGTTATACGAAACAAAACTAAAAATAGTGTTTATGAAAAGTTTGTTTTAATTCTGGAAAATTTAAAATACACAAAAAAATTATAACATGTTAAAATATTAAAAATATATACAAAAATTGATAAAGTTTTGCATCGATTCGAATCGCAATTCTCTGCTTTTCCCGGAGGCGCAGGATAAACAAATTGAAATTTCTGTATACTTCTACATCAAATTTAAATTAATCGGGTCTGTATATATATTATTTTATGTTTAATTTTTTAAATGTGTATATTTGTTTATTTTCTAAGGGAGATGGCAACGCGTTTGGCGGGCGGTAGTTTGAATGTTATTGTTTTGTAGATCGATCGATTATATCTTATTTCCAATTACTTTTTTTTCGGTATTAATATTTGAGTCGGGTTACAATGTGTTGGAAAGTTATACCTTGTAATTTCCAAGAATTGAATTTAGACATCACGTTAACTTGCGGCCAGTCTTTCAGGTAAATTTTGTTTTGGTACTAATATTAAATATGGTCGAAGTATACCTAGGTAACGCCAATGGTGGCGCTTCGGTTAGGTTAGATTAGATATTTAGGTTTACATATTTGAACTGAGGGGACCGAGACGAGTTCAACGGTACCGTACTTTTGGACCGGAGACCAAAAATAAGAAAGTTATCTTCCAGAGGGATAGGTTAGGTTTGTTGGACAAGCCGCGAAAGCGGCGCGTAGTACTAGCCGACCGCGAGCGATTGCGAGCGGGTCGTCGGCTGAGGGACCCGAAAAGGACTTAACTCCAACTACGGACGATCGGTGCGCTCGTAGATCAACGTCTGCCTCTGCTGAAGGTATATATGGCCGACTTGCCGGACTGTCCGTTAAACACGCGATAGGCTTAGTGGAGAGAGCGACGCGACTCCCGATCATTGATCGATCGCCGGGAAAAAGTAGGGTACCGTTGAACTCGTCTCGGTCCCCCCAGTTCAAATATGTAAACCTAACCTAACTGAAGCACCACTATTGAGGTTACTGAGGTATACTTTAACCTTAAATATACAATTTAGTATAGAATTTAAAAATCTTATTTGTGTACGCCAATTAAGGATTTAAGGACGAAATGGTATGGCTCGATTCGAACTCCGGACGATGCGGTCGGGACCTTAACGGAGCCGTAGAGCGTACCCGCGGAAGGAAAAAGTCAAAGGAACCGCACCTCTACGTGTGACCCTTTGCGAGATATTGCGTTCCTCCCAAATTACTCTATGTTATCGCTTGTAATTGTCCGCGTCTTGGCACCGTACGTAGTCGTGTGTCTTGTTGCGGTTTTGTATCATTTTTCTTTTATGTACTTGCGAGCGCTACGTTGGCCTCTATATCTAGACTTATTACGCTGTCGTGACGGTGTGAGAAGTCGAAGAATAAAGAGGCCGACGGAGTGCTCGCCAGTATATGCCGAGCTAGACGATAGTAATCTTCCTTTTCTTTCGTGGCATATTTTTTTATCACGCTTGTATGTAACAAATAATTCTTGCAATCCTACGATGACGGGCATTACGGTAGAAGTTACTTTTGGGTACTTTGTTCGTATTTATGCGTGTAAATAAAAGATCTAAAAGTAACTTCTACCACTACAAATGACTTTTAAACAAATCTAATGCACGTGCTTTAATTAAATACCGTATTATACTTTACCATTTTTATGATGGAAAAGTGCATCCGAACGATAAATGGTCTGGTGTCGAAATGTAACCTTTAACTGTAATAAATTTGTATTACGACAGACTTAAAAAACAATGATTTAATCTAAAATTATTTATGATCTGAAGTGTTTTGAAAGATTTAGTTATTGTATTTCCATTATGAAAAGTATAAATGATTTAAGATTCCTCATTTTAAATATGAAACTATTTAGTTATTTAGTATAAAATATTTTGTATTTCTACAATGGTATTCTACGATAAAATAAAATATATAAATAATGTATTTCAATTTACCCACCGTTAAAGGTGCATTAATTTGGTCGGTTTTTTTTATGTAACTTTATTTACAATTTTTCTAAATTAAATGTTTAATTGGGACTTGGATTAACTGTTCGAGTAGGACGTAACTATGATAAAATGTAAACAAAATCTTATCTGCTTAAAATTTTTCGGTATTTGTCTACTTTACGTTTAAAAAAGCAAAGTTGGAAAACAAGAATTTCTCGATGTAAATTTACTTTAAATAACATTTTATTGTTTTTTACAAAGTTAAACGGAATAATTTACAAGTACTACTTAAAATGTCCTCCGAGATACGATTGCATAACTGATATTTTGGTGGGCCAGATCTCGAAAACAAAGTGCAATTTGAAAAATGCAGAGAATTTTAGGCTGGTATTTCACTTTAGAAGCTATCTATAAAATATTGCATAGGTGTTTCCTTATGTCTCTTATCAGTGAATATGGATGTTTTTCTAGTAAAGTTTGAAAATTCTTAGTTGTAAACTTTATGAATAATAATTTATTAGATGAAAAACATGCAAATCATTTGTATATTTTATTTTTTAGATGGAAAAGAGCAGAAAGTGGAGAGTGGGTGAGTGTTTTTTCAAATGTTGTATGGATGTTAAAACAAGATAAAGATGGAAATCTCAATTATAAAGCTTACAACTGCAAGAAAAATACAGATTGTCAGAAATCGAAACGAAGAAAGTTGTATTTAAAGGATACAGTTGCAAGGAACCTTGATGGAAATTATTCTGATACGGATCACGAAAACATGTTAAAAGAATATTTTCAATTGAAAGTTAACTTGACGGATTTATATCGAGATTGGAGTGAAAAAGATGACAAATTTAATAATATTTCCAAAATCTTTAATGGAGTTAGAATTCTTAAACAAGATCCTGTTGAAAATTTGATATCTTTTATATGTTCATCTAATAATAACATACCAAGGTAAATTAAGAATTAATATATTACAATAATCTAGTGTTAATTCGAGTAATCAACAAAGCACTAAAATTTTAGGAGCTTGGAGGATTTGAAAAAAATATTTATTTCATCAGAATAAATATCAGAATTTTTATAAATATATTTTATGTCATCTTTAGATTATTTCTAGACTATTAAAAGTTTTAGTATTTTGATTAATTATTTTACAACAAAGTCGTATTTTACTAGAAAACTGATAGCATTAATTCAATACAGTGTTTAATGTAGCCTACCTATACATTTCTTCTTTAAGTCAAAGTTAACATAAAGTAATATTGTCATCATAGTTTATTAAAAGTCAAAACACTCATTTATAACTACAGACAATGAATTTTGTCTTACAACACAAAAGGTTATTTAAAATTTTTCACTTTACAGATCGTCCACAGCAACAGCCCACCTAGTAAAACGCCTTGGATCGCGGCTTTGATGTTGCTTTAATACAGGAACCCTAAACCACTGATAGGGTCCTTGGTATTCCTGGTAGTTTTGACTGTATTCATCTAGGTGTACAGTTGGCTATTGTTAATATTTATTATTAATTCAAAAAAGGAAGAAAACTCAATTATTTTTAATGTAAAATAAACATTATTTTTAATAACTTGAATGTTTTGATGTTGTTTGTAACTTGGAATATCTTGTTAGGAGTATAAAGTACTGGGGTTGGATGTCACGCCAACAATTATCTCAATCAATACTTCTTCCAAAACTTCAGACTATGAGGCGTTAAATATAATTAAACATATTTTACGTCGAAAGCGCTCGCAAAAATAAATTATTTTTAATTATATTTAACGCCTCATAGTCTGAAGTTTTGGAAGAAGTTTTGATTGAGAACTTGGAATATCATATTTCAATTTACATACTCTGATTTGTTTGTCATTTTCCTGAAGATGATATTTTGAAATATTGAAAACATTTGAGTTATTATTATACTGTAGTATTATTTTTTTTTATAATTATATAATTATTAATAGCAACCTGCAGGAAGACACATTTTCACACAAAGTTATTACATTAGCATATTATAAATAGTAACTTATAAATCAGTTACAATTGAGTGTACAAAAAGAAAAAATATCTTTATGAATGATGTTAAATAGTAAATTAAACAATGTAACATCATCATCATGGAGAGAATTATCCAAAATAAAGTATAACAAAAAAATAAACTAAAAAAAACTCATTTATAACTAAAAATTTAGCAATAATTTGCTAAATAATGGATAGTATCCCAAACTACACAGGTACAGCTCACTTATATAGTAAAATATAGTGCCACCAAAAATCACAAGTTGAAGAATGACACCCAGGCAATGATATAATATTCCAAAACTAGAAATTTGTATTTAATAAATGCAAAAAATTTCCACATGAAGTGATCTTAACAAAAAAAAATTTTTTCACAAAATCAGAGAAAGTGACACATTTAGTTATAGTATGCAAAATGTCCAATTTTTGATCACCAGAACAATAGAGAGAAATTTGTTGTTTATGATTTAATGAAAGCTCAGGGAGACACACCTTATCTATATTATAATAGATACAACATTATAAAAAGAATAGTCTAAATCTTTATACCAACTACTGTATTATATAAACTATTATGGTCTTCTCAAACTGCACTTAAAAATAACCACTTTTTACTAACCTTTAACATGCAGTCTTTTTTATTAATGTAATCTAACATTTTCAATCACATTAATTGATCTTCATCAGGATTGAATAAAGAATTTTTGAATTTATGATGAATGAAACCGATTAAAGAACGTTTTAAGTTTTAATTCTTTCTCAGTGCTTATTGCGTAAGTCCAAAAATAATTATAGACTTTGGATTGATAGTGTACAAATACACACATACACTAACACATAAAAATACAAATTAAAAAGAATAAAGAAATAGATGATATAACTGGCTTCTACTAATGTCTGTCCGTGTATTTTTCTTTATGCTTTTTCCTTTATGCTGATACGTTCATAACGCACCTGCTTGCCATCCTACGGATATTTTATATGATTCTTTGGTGTTTATAGCCTTTCCTGCTGGACTGCTCTTATGAATATGCCAGGCTTCTGCATATTTAATATGTGTCATGTCTTGCACCTTATGTATTATTTCTGCTCTTTCTCATTTCACTGATACCTCAGTTGGGTCTGCTATAATGTATGTCGCTAAAGCTGTGATGGGAGCTTTAGCGATATACATTATAGCAGACCCAACTGAGGTATCAGTGAAATGGGAAAGAGCAGAAATAATACTAAGGTGCAAGATAATAATCTTTCATAATCTGAATTATGAACAACTTCAATTAAATCATTTAAAAAGAAACTAAAAAGTACTGGGGCACATAACAACCTGTCTGACTCCCTTGCCTGTAAACAAATCATCATAACTAAATTTATCTCATTTTGAACCTATTCTGATATTAGAGGTACAGTACAATACAATTTAGATGATAATGAAACAAATTTGAAATTAATGCTGTAACACAGACATTTTCTCCATAATAAATCCCTCTCCACACTGTCAAATGTTGACAAAAGATAAACAAAAATCACACCTTATGATGCTTTCTGATTAAAGTCTTTTGGATCAAAGTATGTACTGAGTAAACTAAAGATATTATCTATTGCTGAATAATTTGATCTAAAATCAGCTTGATTTTCATATATTATGTTCCTTTAACCACCTTAATAATCTAAAATAACAAATTTACAAAAATGACACACAATTTGAAATGCTCTATAATTTTTTGGAACCAATCCAGAACTACTCTTATATAGTGGAACTGATGTAGAGCTTTTCCATTCATCTAGTATAACTCCAGTATTCAAAACCTTATTAAACAATTCATCAAAAAGAGAAACAAAGAGTCTATTTTCCAAAATTCCATGGGAATTTATCTAAAATCCTTGTGCCTTTTCCCATTTTAATTTATAAATCACATTTCTTAACTCATGCTGTGAAATATTTAAATCTAAAATTTTATTTGTCCAACACCTGCAATCATTAAATATAGTTATATCTACTCTATATGGAAATATTGTTCCAAATAGCATATATTGATAAAAATGGTCAAACCAATCCCTCAAAAATATCCCAGGTAACTTATATCTAGTTTGGATTTTAAAAAACTTCCAAAAACATCTATTATCCTTGAAAAACACTGATGACAATTGTATTCTAGGAAAGAAAAAAAATTTTTTTTTGCTAAACATTATTTTTATCAGACAATGATACATAAGAAATGTCCTTCAGTGAGAAGCCAAATTAGTTCTACAAAATGCCAATCAAGCCTAATTTTTAGCTCTTATCGATAATCAACATTCTGTCAAACTAGGTAAATTTACCATTGTCATCAGCAGACCTAAAATTCATTCCATATTTAACAGCAATCTGAACAACAATTTCTTATAATGTACATAAAATAATATTTGAAGAATTTAATTTCACACAAAACTTTAATAGTGTAATGTGTAACATTGTTCAAGATTTTTCTCCATTTCAAATGTAACAATGTATTAAAACACTGTCTTACACAAACAGAGATTGTGCACGTTTGACTTGACTGATGAACTTTGAAACAGGTCTGTATATGCTGCTAAGTTATCTAGCAACATGAAAATACCAATTAATGATGTGTTAAGCTGCACAATCATTAAATAAAAAAATTAGTACACTTACTTTTGGGATAGACCATGTATTACAACTAAAGGTAACATTAGGTATAACCTTAACATTAAAATATGAATTAATAAACAACATCCAACCAGTTTTCAATCCCACTGTATTAGACTTTAAACGCATCACTGATAATACAAGTATAGTCTTTCAAAATATCCAAATTAAGCCAATGGAAAATTGAAGACAACCAAGTTTCAGATAGAACTATCTAAAAATTCAATAAATTCTTGTAGAAAAATCTAGTTTGATCAGGGGTTCCAGAACAGTTCCAAGAAACCACAGAGATAAATTGATTTGTTAGTTACTATGAAGATATAGGAATCACTTTTCCAACACACTTGTCCAATTTCTATTTAATTCTATCTACAATTATTTTATAATAGTATACTAAACGAATAGTTTGAGTACCCTCTAATTTTTTTGATTACCAAATGTTCTCAATTTGTATCTGATTTCTCTAATACACTGCAAACAATCATTAATTGAATAAACAATTAAATGTAAATTATATATACATTTAATTGTTTATTCAAGAGAACCACTTCCTTAAAACAAGCAGCTTGTCAATAAAAGAACCAAACTATCATACTATTAAACTAGGCTTATCTCCAATTTTCAATGCATTGTATGTTAAGAAAGATTAGAGTATATATCAAAAAAATAATCAATCAACTTTACTATTAAGAAATGCACACAATCTCAAAAAAACATACAGTACATCCCTTTACTCATATCAAAAGTCTTTGCTTATAGAAGTTGATAGATTTCATCAATGTGATAATTGCACTCAGATCTAGCTCTACTGCTGACTTTCTCATTAATAATTGGAGAAAACAATTTACTCTTCATATCCTACAACTTTCCAAATAATCAGAAAGCACTCACCTAAAATGCAAAATATTTAGCAACAGTTTGTGACATAATGGACAGTCTCCCAAATTGCACAGGTATAGCTTCACTTATATAGTGAAGTATAGTGTCACCAATAATCCACAAATTGAAATATGACATTAATGCAATGATATAAAATTTCAAAATTAGAAACTTGCATTTAATAACTCCAAAAAATTCTCAAAAAATAATCTGAATACCAAACATTTCTTCACAAAAATTGGAAAAAGTGATACATTTAGTCATAATGTATAATAAATGTATTCTTGATCTCCAGGACAAATTTTCTCATTTATAATTTAATGAGATGCTCAACAAGTTACACCTTATCCATAAATAAAAAGCAAAAATTTTAGCAATATTTAAATATTAATTAAATAAACAAAATAATAGGTATTCTCCCCAAGTTATTAAAATGAAAAATATTGAAAAAAAGGAAAGAAAAACACCAAAAAACTGAGTTTTTCTTTCCCTTTTTTAGTAAAAATTTGTAGTGTATGCAAGAAGGATAGTAAAAATACTTTATTATAATTAATATTTATTTATGTGTTTGTATTTTTAAAAATTTGTTCTATGATTTTTAACTGGGTATTTTAAGTAATTGTTGTACTGGGGGAGGCACTTATCGTTTACAAGACCACCTTTTTTTTTTTCAAAAAAAAAAAAAAAACTATAAATGGCAAAACAGTAGTGTTTCATAACTTGAAATTTTAAATTTAAATATTATTTTTTTAGTAATGTATAATACATATTTAAAAAATTAATGATTCATCAATTTTAATTTATTTAATTAAACTAACAAAAATTACATGATAGAAAGAAAACTTATATTTTTTATTAATAGGATAACCAGTATGGTAGAAAAATTATGTTCCCATTACGGTGAAGAAGGATTGGAAATAAATGACAAAATATTCTACACGTTTCCTTCTTTAGAGAAATTAGCCGAAGCTAAAGTGGAAGGAGAATTGCGTAAGTTAGGATTTGGCTATCGTGCAAAGTATATTAATCAGACTGCAGCTCATATTACTAAAAATGATCCCAACTGGTTAATGTCTCTCAGAAATATCTCTTATGAAGATGCACGGAAGGAATTATTACAGTTACCTGGAGTAGGTGGCAAGGTTAGTCATATTTTCCAATTTATAACAAAATTTGTTTTTACTTGTTTATTTCAAAATAAAAATGAACAAAATTTGGTACCATGTTAAAATCAAAAATTAAACAGATAGTTAATTTAAAGAAACTAAAAATATATTTATTCAAAAACATTTTCAGCCATTTTTCTGATCATCTTCAAATTACAAACACATTGAACAATGTAAAATAAAAATTCATAACAAATAACAACTGTAAAAACAATTAGAATTATGTAAGAGTTTAAAATTTTAAAATATGCAAATAAAACATTGATGATAAAACAATGAAACTAGATGTTTTTTTAATAGTATTAATGTATTTTATATTAAAAATTATTATTATTACAGTTTTCTATTAATGATGAACTATTTAAGAAGAAGATGGTAAAAATAAAATAGTTCAATAGATGTTTTTATAATTTGAAACAACCTATTTATTCTGTACGTAGTTCTAACTTAGACTACGATAAATAAGAAATACTTTAATTTTTAATTCAGGTGGCAGATTGTGTATGTTTGATGTCATTGGATAAAAGTGAAGCAGTACCAATAGATACTCATGTTTGGCAAATAGCTACAAGAGATTATCTCCCTCATTTGAAAACAAAGAAAACTATGACTGATAAAATTTACTTGGAGATTGGTAAGTTTTTATATTAAATATTTCAGTTTAATATTAATTTATCATTATGAGATTATCCCATAATCTGAATTAGTCTATCTAAATTTTAAAATACAAAATTTACATGAAACAATAGAATTGAAATTTAACATATAAATTGCTTAATTTCTTTTAAAATTTTATCTTCATTTTACACATTAGAATCTGTGAAAACAATTCATTAACTGTTCCATTTGTTTTCATTGATTGAAATTACAGATAATTAGTCACAGAAGATTATATTTAATACTCTGTTGCTGATATAGGAATACTTGAATAAATTAATTTGTATTTAAAAATTTGTTTTAATTTTTACATTAATTCTAAGCTGTTTGAAAAGAATATAAGATTTTAAACAGAAATAAGCTTTTGAAAGTTACTTTAAATTTGTATAATAAATAAGTATTCATGTTTCTGTTGTATTTATTTAATTTTATGTCAGTTTTTATAAAACAGGGAATATAATTTATAATCCAGGAGTATTGCTTCTATGTTTAAAAATAAAAATGAGAATTCTTTAGGGAACATTTGCAATTTAATCAGTAGAAAATATTAAGTTATTGCCATATTTATTTAAGAATTTTACAGTTATGTTATTATATCGTTTTTTAAAAATTAATATTGAAAGATATAAGGATGTAGAACCTAATAAATTTTAATTTTAAAAAATCTCAGTTATGAGTAGATTAGTAGCAGTGTTAGAGAAATATAACATAACATACAAGGTTGAGACTAATCATACTGAAAGAGTGTAGAGTAATGTAGCCCTGTGCCAATAGTCATTCTGCCAGGTGACATTTGCATCTACCATGCATTTTACAAAATGGTATCACCCATATCAAACTACACCAGAATTGAAAAGTGAGCTATTATTTGATTTTTGACAGCCAAAGGCATTAGATCTAATTAGATCCATTATATGTTATATGCACAGTATGGAGAGTCATGCTTGTCACTACTAAAAGCTTGGGTTCAAAAGTTTATGTTGCTCATTGTCTATGTTTATTTGGCTTTTTGAACTTTTGAATCTATTTAACCTTATATGTTACATTATTTTTCTTTGGCAGTGTTACAAACCTTGTTTATTGAATCTGCCTTGTATATATCTTTATTAATTTAAAAGCTGGCATATATATTATCCCTTAATTACTCTTTCAATCACTATATCAGTGTATTTCTATTAATAGGACTTATCATACTGGTGTATAAGATTACAGCCTCACAGTTACACAAATTAAAATTGTTTTATTTTCAATTACAGTAATTTTGATTAAATTAAGGACATAGATGCATATTAATTATATTATCCCTTTTTTATAATTATAAATCTAATAATTATATTCAATTCACTTTGTAGGAATCAGTAATTATTAATTGATCCTAAAAGGCAAGTTTGATATATTGTTTTAGCTATATAATTATCATTATTAATTATTTTACATATGCATTATTTAAGTTTAACTATTATAATTTTATGAAATACAGTATGATCATATAATTATTACAGCATTTGGAAAATAAATGCTTTTTTTCTCTAGTCAAATTTTATTTGAATTTTTTCTTTATTTTTTGGTTATGTATATTTGGGTATATTCTATTTAGAGATTTTCAGCAAATTACTCTATTTTTATTTCAAAATTCTTAAAGGATACACCAAAATTAATATCTAGTTTTAAGGATCAGTTTTTTGGTATTAATTTAATAACATAATACATTATAATTTAAATAACTATTGTCTGGGAATTGTCTGGAACAAGCCAGGCACTCAAAACTTGTACAAGAGAGTACAGACAATTCAAATGGGGTCAGAAAGTATAAAAATAGAGAAAAACATTAAATATTTAGGGATTACACTTAACTTTAAGTTTCTTTGGACCATACATATTGAGAACATTTGTAAGAAAACAGGGTTAATCTTTCAGATACGCACCCAATTATAAATAATATTAATACTATGCTACAAAATTCAAATGGTCCCTTAATTGACTGAGAGGACACCAGGGAAATATTGGCAATGAAAGAGCCGATGAATTAGCAAAGAAGGCAGCCACCAACCAAGAAAACACCATAACATACAGCAAATTACCACCTGTGACAGGATTCAATGGTATAAAATACTATATTTTAAAAGAATGGCAAATGTTCTGGGACAATTTCCATAATGAAACAACTTACTCATACTTACCAGACATTAAAAGTATCTACAAGTTGAATTGGCTTGAAATTGATCACAATACAACCCAATTTATAACGAACCATGGCTGCTTTCAAAGCTTCAACACAGGTTCAAAATTACTGATAGTGATAAGTGCTCTATTTGTGACAATACTGATAGAAGTGACCACTACCTGTTTGACTGCTCTATAGTCAAAAAAGAAAGGAAGGACTTACAGCTAATTTTAAGCTACAAACATAAATTGGCCATGTAATAAAAGCCTTCTCCTGCAAGACAAAGAAATCTACAGGTCCTTCAAAACTCTTATAGACTTATATTTCAAATGGACCTTAGTGCAAAAATTATACTGAACATTGTTGCTTTCTGGGAAGTTACCCAGCCCTTTATTGTGTTAAGTCCCATAGTGACTGAGTCCACTTTCCCCCACACCATTCATTTACTGTTACATGCATTTAACATTTTTTTTTGTAGAATAATGACTGTATGCAGTTTACCACCCAGTTGTGCTAAGTGGTACTGGGTATGTACAGTACTGTACATATCACTTGTACCTGATTAATAAAAAAAAAGTACTTCCCAGGAAAAAATTTAAGGTGAATGACCTGTGTTATTAGTGTCTACTCCATTTTCCCTTACAATCTGTTAGTTTGACAAGAAAATAATACTCGTATTATAACATTCAATAACATAATAATTCATATTCCAGTTATTTTTAAAAATAATAATAANTAGATCAAAGTGCCTTCATACTATAAGATACAATAGACCAAGAACAACTCTAATCTGGTCAATGTGATTTTGCTTTTACAGTAACACATTTTCAGTTGTCACCTTATATATGGACTATCTCTTTTTTTCTCTCATTTCATAAAATATGATTGGGTTTTGGAATTGCAAGATTTGGCTACGAGTAGCCGATTGAGATATTTGTAGGGCTCTAGGCTACTACTTTCTGGGCCACTTTAAAGATAATTTGACTACATAACGAGAAATTCTGCTTTACTGTTTATAAAATCTATCTTCTGACCTGTGAGGTTCTCACCAGACATGTGCTGTTTACCAACAGTTTATTAATATTATTATTATTATTAGTGGATAGTCAATTGATAAGAAGTTTCAGCAGTATAAAATATAAGTTTTGTAAATTAAATTGTATTTATAATACTAAAACCATTAAATTTTTAAAATTATTCATGAATTACACTTTGTAATAAATTTGAAATGTGTAATAAAAGATATTCATTCATTCTATTAATTTTAAATATTTGTCATTATTTATTATTATTGTTATGAGGGTCATTCTAAAAGAAAAGAACGTTTTGATCTGACAAGCCATTCAGTTCTCCTACCACCCTCAACTGCCACATCATGAACCTTCCCATGTTTTCATGCCAGTCTTATGCTAACAGCGAGCCACAATGATCAGTGTGACTTTGAAATGTGTGACAAAATTAAAGATCCCGTCAATTGTGAGGTTCGTAGTGTAATACGCTTTTTGAATGTGAAAAAAGTCCGCCCTATCAAAATTTACAGACAGATAACAAAGGTTTATGGTAATGTGAAGAATGAAGCTTCAGTTCAAAACAAATGGTAGGGATTGTTGTCCAGAGGCATTGTGCTTCTTCAGGATAATGCACGTCCACATGCTGCTGCATTGACGAAGAACTTGCTTCACTAGTTTAAGTGGGAAGTTTTTGAACATCCTTCTTATAACCCAGACTAGGCTCCAAATGATTACATCTTTTCCCAAATGTCACTATGGAAGTGACAATGAACTGAAAGAGGCCATTAATGACTGGTTCAAGAACTTGGCGGTAACTGAGTGTGCAGAAGGCATAGAAAAGCTGATGATATGCTATGACAAATGTTTAAATTTGTATGACAACTATGTAGAAATATAGCTAAGGTGTCATATGTGTTGTAAAATAAGTTTTGTTTCATTATCTTAAATAAAAATATCTAGAGAAACAAACGTTCTTTACTTTTAGAATCACTCTCATATATAATGTTATTTTATTTTAGTGTTAATATAAAATATTTAAATTTCTCTGTTGCAAGAGGCAACACTGGAGAGAGCGACACATAAAGAAACAAAAACTTTTAATAAAATGATAACAAAAATCATTAATATATCTTTAATAATAAATACCTAGCAGTAAAATGAACATAAAACATATTTTTGAATACTTTCAATAGCAATCTTTAGGTTTAAAATGATTAATTCCAAAGTTATAATTTACATATTACAATTAAAGTTATATTCAAAGAAGTAAAGAATGGAATGTGCATACAAGTTTAAAGTTAGGAATAATAAAGAATTAACAGAGTGTAAATACGATTTAAATTATGATTAAAGTAAAAATAAATATGAGATGAGAATTAACTTTATACTTCAGTTCTAGCTTCAAATTTTAAATTTGTGTGTGCATTCTGTTAATTCTTTTCACATAATAACTGATTCTGCATTTTAATTTTAAATTGAAAATTTCTACTCTCATTAGTTGAAAACATTTGTATTTTTGTTCATTTTATTGCTAGTTATTCAAGATTTTGTTTCTTTGTAAATACTGTATTTAAAATTTTTTTGAATATTTTTGCAAGATGTCTGGTAATATAACTTTATAAATAAAATAATTATAGACACTTAAATTTATTTCTGAAAATATTTATAAATCTTAAAATTGTACTTGCATCATTAATTTATTTTGATATTTTTAAAGTAAATGTCTTAAACTTTCTTTTATAGGTAATTTCTTCAGAAATCGATTTGGTAAATATGCAGGATGGGCACATTCTGTAAGTAAAAAATGAAAATTCAATTAATGATAATATTTTTACTATAAAAAAATTGAATATTAATATGAAAACCAGTTAAAAATATCAAACTTAAAAGAATTAGGTAATACAGAAAATCATCATTAATTCAAACTCAGTTTGAAATCAAATCATTTATTCAAACTGGTTTGAAATTCCATTAGTTTGTAACTGTGCTTTTGTCCTGGCTGGGGTATAGAGATTTATACATTAAGGAATTTGATTAGTTCAAAATACTGCTATTTTGTAATTCAAAGTGAAAATTCTGTCCAAACTGCAATATGAGTATGTTAACTTGTTCATTTAGATCAAAGTGCCTTCATACTATAAGATACAATAGACCAAGAACAACTCTAATCTGGTCAATGTGATTTTGCTTTTACAGTAACACATTTTCAGTTGTCACCTTATATATGGACTATCTCTTTTTTTCTCTCATTTCATAAAATATGATTGGGTTTTGGAATTGCAAGATTTGGCTACGAGTAGCCGATTGAGATATTTGTAGGGCTCTAGGCTACTACTTTCTGGGCCACTTTAAAGATAATTTGACTACATAACGAGAAATTCTGCTTTACTGTTTATAAAATCTATCTTCTGACCTGTGAGGTTCTCACCAGACATGTGCTGTTTACCAACAGTTTATTAATATTATTATTATTATTAATTATCATTATTAATTATTTTACATATGCATTATTTAAGTTTAACTATTATAATTTTATGAAATACAGTATGATCATATAATTATTACAGCATTTGGAAAATAAATGCTTTTTTTCTCTAGTCAAATTTTATTTGAATTTTTTCTTTATTTTTTGGTTATGTATATTTGGGTATATTCTATTTAGAGATTTTCAGCAAATTACTCTATTTTTATTTCAAAATTCTTAAAGGATACACCAAAATTAATATCTAGTTTTAAGGATCAGTTTTTTGGTATTAATTTAATAACATAATACATTATAATTTAAATAACTATTGTCTGGGAATTGTCTGGAACAAGCCAGGCACTCAAAACTTGTACAAGAGAGTACAGACAATTCANGCCACAAATATTGAAGTCGTAATATCACTAGAAAAGCGTTTAAAGCACATAAAATCATATTAAAATATATAAATTTACAAGTATGTACTGTATTTAAAGTACATGCATTCGTAAATTTAGATTACTTTTTCTGTACTATATTAAAAACTAAAATTTATTTGTTTGTAAGCTTAAAATAGATTCTTATTAGCCATATATTATTAGAAATGCATTAATAAATAAAATACAGAACCGGAAATGGTAATTTATGGTTTAGCCTAGTGACTTGTAGATTCGGAGACAAGTAAATTTGACTTATGTCGTCTCTCCTGGAACCAATTACCAACATAAGGCGAGGTATACCTGTATATGTTCTCCACCTCAAATTAGTAGTGTCTTGACCCTGTACAGTACATCATACTTTTCCATTAGCTATAGAGTCGTACTGGTCAGCTATCTAATACCTTTCGGGGAAAAATTTTTTAATTGAAATAACGTGACTTCTGGTTTGCACTGGAAATTCATATTTAGTTAATTAGGGCTTCCTGCCCCTAAGCTTTACATGTTTGGTCTTGATTTTCATTGATCTAACACCATTCTTGAGATTAAAGAAGGACAAATGACAGCAATATTTATACATAATTAATGCCTTTGTGATAATTTCTTCCTTTCTCACTTAAACAAAAGATCAGCATGACATCCAACCCTCAAATTTAATTAACTCTTTCTCAACATCCATAAATTAAACAACAGCATAGATTTGAGACTGGAGTAAATAGATTCAAATAATGTTTATCATATTACAGTTTGCTTTTTCCTGACTTTTATAAGACTGTTTAAGTATTTTGACACCTTTATGGATTATTTGATCTACTTTTACCTATAGTCATAATGGTCAACTTAATAGACATATTAGACTTCTTATAATATCTTTTATTTAAAATTGAAATGCATTTTGGACTTTTAGTTTCTCTTCAGTCAACTTTTACAATTATCTTTTCAACATTATTATTATTATTATTATGTTGGGTTTAGTGGGTAATACTCGGTTTAAACCGGTGGCTGTGTACTATGCCGGACCAGAGTCAAGGCATAGCAACCAAAACTAATTAAATAAGTATGTCAGTGTCAGTGTTTGTATTAAGGAATTTCCTAACGATATGACATGTATTCAATATAGTGGCCTTCTGTAGTGTGATGTATGTATTTCTATTCAATTGTAATGTTCCCAGGCTTTTGTGTAGTGTGTGTGGTATCACACCTGTACAGGAGAGAACAACAGGTACAATAAGCACCCTATCCATCCTCCACAGATGCCTTATTTCCTGGGCGAGTTCTGTGTACTTGCTAATTTTTTCAGTGCATGTGTTTTGTACATTGTGAGTGTTTGGAATGGCTATGTCTATAATGTATGTGATTTTATTGTGTTTGTCAATGAGTGTGATGTCTGGTCTGTTGTGGTAAATTGTTTTATCTGTGATTATGGCTCTGTCGTAGTACATTTTGTGCGTGTTGTTTTCCAATACTGTCTGTGGAATATACTTGTAGTATGGTTCGTGGATGTCTGCCAATTTGTGTTTCTTTGCAAGCTCTTGGTGTATTATATTTGCTACTTGATTGTGTCTATGTAAGTAATCTGTCTGTGCCAAGAGCTTGCAACCAGAAGTGATGTGTTGTATAGTTTCTGGCATGATGTGACATTTTCTGCATGTGTCATTTGTGAGTGTTGTATCTTTGAGTATGTGTTTTCTGTAGTTTTTAGTATTTATGACCTGATCCTGTATGGCAATCATGAATCCTTCCGTCTCCCCAAAGAGGCATCCCCGATCTAACCAGCTGTTTGACGCAGTTTTGTCAACAAAATCCTGGGCCAGGTCATAAGGATGCCTGCCATGGAGTGCCTTTCGAGCCCACGATTGCTTGATGGTGTCTATGCTTTTTATGTGTTGTGTCATGTCTGTATGATGTGAGTGTAAGTTTAATGGTGTGTTATTTGAGTCTGCTAGAGTTACTGCTTTATGTAACTGTGATGTTTCTTGTTTCTTGTAGAAAAACTCTCGCAGTGACTGTATTTGTTTGTAGTGAAGGTTAACTATGTCAATCAGGCCACGTCCGCCTTCTTTACGTGGAAGGGTTAATCTTTCTGTGGCGGATTTAGGATGATGTTGTTTATGCTTAGTAAGTGTTGTTCTTGTTTTCCTTTGGAGTTGCTCGAGATCTGTGTGAGTCCAATGTATAACTCCAAAAGAGTATGTGAGTACTGGGATGACATATGTGTTTATTGCTTTAACTGTGTGTTTTGCATTTAACTGTGTTCTGAGTATAGCGTTTAACCTACTTTGGTATTCTTTAATTAATCGTTGCTTTATTTGTGTATGTTCTGTTAGTTTGGCCTGTTGGAATCCTAAGTACTTGTAGAACTCGCCCTCTTCCATGGATTCAATAACGTCTCCATTTCCAAGTGCAAAATCTTCTTTCTTCAGGATTCCTTTTTCTATGTGAAGTTTTTTGCATTTGTCTAGGCCAAACTCCATTTGTATGTCCTTAGTGTATGAATGTGTGATTTGTAGGAGTTGATGAAGTTGTTTTTGTGTGGATGCATAAAGTTTTATGTCGTCCATGTACATGAGATGTGAGAGTGTAAACTGTGTTGTTTTTTCGTGTCTGATATTGTAGCCGTATTGCGTGTTGTTTAACATGTTGGATAATGGATTCAGGGCTAGGCAGAACCAGAGAGGACTCAAGGAATCTCCTTGAAAAATTCCTCGCCTAATGAATATTTCGTTTGTTTGTATGGAAGTGTTACTAACCCTGAGATGTAGTGTTGTTCTCCAGTGCTGCATAGTGTTTTCGAAGAATGCAATGAGTGATGGATGTATTTTGTACATGTGTAGAATATGTAGCAGCCAACTGTGTGGAACACTGTCGAATGCTTTTCTGTAGTCTATATATGCCATGTGTATGTTTCTGTGTTGTTTGTGTGCTTGCCGTAGAATGACTGAATCTATGAGTAACTGTTCTTTGCATCCCCTGTGATTTCTACGGCAACCTTTTTGTTGTTCTGTAAGAATGTCGTGTTCTTCAACATGTTTGTATATTTTGTTTGTGATACAGGATGTCAATAATTTGTAGAGTGTTGGAAGACATGTAATTGGTCTGTATTGTGTGGGGTCTGTGGTTTTGTTGTTTTTAGGTTTCATGTAGGTGATGCCCTGAGTAAGAAATTTTGGCATGTCTTGTGGATTGATGATGATGTGTGTTAGATGTTTAGCTAGTTCCTGGTGCAGTGATGTAAACTTTTTGTACCAGAAATTGTGAATGTTGTCTACACCAGGTGTCTTCCAGTTGTGTGTTCTGTTAACAGCGTAGCGAATGTCGTGTATGTTTATTTCAGCACAGGGCATAGTTGGTATGTTATGCAAGTTTCTGTTCTCCTCCTCGATCCAGCCTGCATCAGCATTGTGTGTAACAGCATTGGACCAAAGAGAAGACCAATAAGTTGTGAGTTCTTCTTCTGTTGGTGTGCCACTGTGCTGTGTATCAGTGTTTGTTTTGGTACTGATTTGTCTGTAGAAAAGTTTTTCATTGTTTGTGAATAATTTATTTTGTTGTTTTCGTAGTGTACATGTTTTGTATCGTTTGAGTCTACGTGCTTTGGCTGCGAGTTTTTGTTTTAGTGTATCGATGTATTCTGTAATGTGTGTGTTGTGATGCTCGTGTTTTGTGTCTGTTTTAATTTTCTTGAAAATGTTCTTGAGTTGTTTCTTTAATCTGGGTGTTATGTTGTTTTTATTGTATTGTGTCAGCCTGCCTAATTGCTGTCTAATGTCATTTATTTGTGTTTCTATTCTTCTCTGCCAGGCAGGCTTATGATAGAATTGTGTTTTGTGTGTGTCTGTCTATGAGTGTATTTTCAGTCCATGGTGTGTCACTACTGTGACTGCCCCAGCATAAACTAATGTATGAATGTTATTATTATTATTATTAATAAAATAATAAATGTAATTGTTTATAGAGATAAGCAAATGTTGGAAAAACAATTTGACTGAAGAGGGACACTAAAAGTTCAAAATGCATTTCCATTTAAATTAAAAGATATTATAAGAAGTCTGAATTGTCTGTTAAGTTGACCATTATGACAAATATAGGTAACAATATTTTATATTTGTTGATGGATTAAAAAAATAGTGTCAACAGATTTACTTAAAAAAGTATGGTAGTAATTTTCATATTTTTATTTTTCACTCTTTCCATCCTATGGGATTTAAGAGGGCTCTACCACACTGAAAAATAATAAAATAAACTAAAATTTAATAACCTTTCAACAAAAAATAAAGAGTGTACCAAACTGATGTAACAAAACTTTTAAAATGTATATAAAAATAGAGATTTAAAATGAAAACTTACAGCATACACAAATTTGATCAAATATTAGTTCTTTAGTCTTAATTATATTATTTAACAAATATATTTTTATAGTTAGAATAGTTAGTTCATTAAAACTGGTGATAACTGAAAGAAAGCAAAATGCATTTTTTTATTATAAATTTTTCTTTGCATAAGTTTGCAGTACTGTTAACTTATTACATGTTATACGAAGTTTCGTTCATTTTGATTACATTAGATAGGTTAACAATTATATATATCATATCCTATAACACTTCACATCTTTTTCCAGCAAATTTATTGTTTTCATGCTAACATTTTTGGATGTCTTAAATGCCCTCATCCTTATCAGGCAACTTTACCTTATGTAGAAGATGTTGTGTTTTTTTTTTTTTTCTAGTTTCAAATGAATTAACATTGTTACATTTTAAACATTGTTATATTGTTGTATTTCAAAATCTAAAGTTGGAATATAATTTAATAAAATTTTTGAGAATTAATTTTGTATTGTAGTGCTACTGTGCTCTATTTAATGTTAAAGTGCCAAATTTGATCATTAATGTCTCCAAGACCAATAAACCAGTTTGGATGAAATTTATATTTAGTGTCCACAACAAGGATTACAGAAGTCTTAAATTTTGAATAAATTCATTGGATCATTCTGGCCTTATGCAATCCCAAATTTGACACTTTTTCCACTAGATTTACAAGAGAAGTTTTCATGACACCAAGCTACCAGAAAATCTAGAAGGAGTCTGCTTATGCTTAATAACTTTTGAGAGCTGACCACCTCTAAACTAGTGAAACCAGGTTGAAAAAGTAGAGCTCAGCAAAAACATCTAAATAAAGGAAACTTTTGAAAGTTGAGACATAAGAATAGTGCAATCAGATTTGACAGTAAGACTGAACATATAAATAAAAAGTGCACATTACACAGCCTACAATTACAAGAAGTTTTGGACAGAGCAATGTCATCATGATAATAAATTGGAAAAATAAGCATTGTCCCAGATAAAGGCTTCGAGCTTTACTTTGTACCTCAAACTTCTTTTGCCGATGTTGCTCAAAGAAGTTCTAATGTTCAGTCAAATTAATGTAAGTGCAACAATTTTAAGGCACAAAATAAAGCTTGAAGCATTTTTCTATGACAATGCTTATTTTTCCAATTTATTATCATGGTGACATTGCTCTGTCCAAAACTTCCTGTAGTTGTAGGCTGTGTAATATGCACTTTTTATATGTTCAGTCTTACTGTCAAATCTGATTGCACTATTCTTATGTCTCAATTTTCAAAAGTTTCCTTTATTTAGATGTTTTTTGCTGAGCTCTACTTTTTCAACTTGGTTTCATCAAGTTGAAAAAGTAGAGTTTCACCAGTTTTTATATGGAATATCATATATGTTAGAATTATATTTTATTAGGCTGCACAAACTAATCATAGAAAAATGTGTAAATTAATTTAATAATATATAATTAATGATTTATTAAAAATTAAGTTACTTATTTTAAGAATTACTAAAATTTTTAAAATAATTTATAATATTTGTTATAATTATTGCATTAATTATATATGCTAATGTAAAGATTAATACAAGCTTAAAACCTTTTAACTGTTTAATATTTTAATTTTGATTTAATTCTGATTACTTGTTAATAATGTACATATTTAATGACTTTTTAGGTATTATTTGCTGCTGATCTTCCACAGTTCAAACATTTAAGAAATGAATTACATTAATGCAATAATCTTAAGTAAGTATTATTAAAATAATTTGAAATCACACCAATATTAAACCTTTATTATTATTGTATTCATATATATCGTTGGTGCACAAGAATATTGACACAACTCAAAAAAATAGTTCTTCCAGAACAGCCATTTAAAAGTTTCTTTTATTTCTGCAAGACTTTGTCATGATCTTGAATTTTTAAAATTTTCAAATCTTTATTTCCAAAAAATATTGAAAATTTTAAAAATCCAAGATCATGACAAAGTCTTGCAGAAATAAAAGAAACTTTTAAATGGCTGTTCTGGAAGAACTATTTTTTTGAGTTGTGTCACTATTCTTGTGCACCAACAATATGTTATAATGCCAGATGAAGTTTGTGTTCATTGCAACACTTAAACAACCTTCTCAATAACTGGAAGAAATTACAAAGCACAATCAACAAAACCTTTAACATCCAGTAATGAAATTTAATGTAGAACTTGACAAATGTTTTAAATTTTATTACTGGATGTTAAAGGTTTTGTTGATTGTGCTTTAAACAACAGGATTTCAAATTAAATTTATCAAAGTTTTTTCTTAATTGGAGCTAAAGTTAAAGAAGCTTTTTCACATCCCAATGCTAAATAAAAATATTTATCACTCATTACAATATATAATAATTCACAATATACAGTGTAATTAAATATGAAGTTGAAACTTAAACTTGAATAAGTTGCTGCATATTAAACATGATTTCTTCATCTGCCTATGTAGACATTTTAAGATAATACTTAAAAGATACTGAAATAACCTTTAAAAGCATTATCAAATAGTTGACAGTTGACTCTATTCCTTCATGATTGTTATTTAAAATTTTTAGAAAGTCGCTTACATATAGTATTTTTAAATCAACAAGTTTTAATTTTTCAAACACAAACATCATAGTCACTAATAATGATTTTCTTCAAGCTTATTTTTCTGTTTGGAGTTTTCAAGCATAATAGAAAAAAACAATACATTTAACAGAATGTATAATACCCAAATATAGTTTAAACTATAGAAAATGATTGAAAATATTTGTGTTTGTAAAATTAAAGCTTACTGATTTAAAAAAGTGGATCTAATTGTGAAATCAGCTTGTGATTTTCATAAAATTTTTAATCATAGCATTTAAGAAACTGTAGTAAAGTATTAAATATTATTACTGATATAAATATCAATTATGTTTAGTAAGAACAAGCAATCAAATTATTAAATTGTATTAAAGTTTTATATTTAATAATTTCCCTGTTTCTGAGTAAATTTAATAAATTTGATATTTCAAAATGTACTTATTACTGGAAATTCATTAGCATAGATATAAAATGACAATTTCTTTATTCAATATATAAAAATCATTGTATTTATAGATGTTTATAAATTAATACTTATTATATGAATTGCTCACATTTTATTGAAGCAAACAAAAGGCTGTTAAATTCAGTTTGCCAAATATCATTTATTAGGAGAAGTAGTTTCAGTCAATCTTTTGGTTGCTATCAATTTTTATCATCCTTTTAAGTAAGTTAATAATGAACCAACTCTGGCTGAAAATGTTTCATCAAATAAATAGTATTTGGTAATCTGAATTTACCAGTTTTGGCTTCTTATTTTATTTCATAGATGGAAGTAAATTTGCAATCTTTATCAGTATTTTAAGGAGTTTTTAAAGCATAAATACAATAAAAGCATGCTTACTAGGAACATAAGTTAGAAAAGAGAAATATAGTTTAATTTATTTTATTGCAAGTCATATAATAAAATTAAAAATCAAATTTAATGTTGAAAGGAGACAACATTATCAGTTATTATTATTCCATAACGAGTGTAAATGTAAGTATGAAAAAATAGAGAGATTGTGCTTCTTTTCCAAAGTTACATTCATATTAAACTTATTTTCATTAAATTGTGTCACCAGATAAATCATGAAAACCATTTATTTTATGTATCGCATTTTCAAAAAGTTATTGTAATTTAGAAATGCTTTTATTAATAATCACACTACATGTTTAATATTGTACAATATTAATGCAATACTTTTATGTGCACTATAAATACTGTATATTTTAATAAGCAAAATATATTTATCTATTGTAATGTTCANAAGTTGTAAACCCATCTCTGATATTGATCAGTTTGCATTAATTGCCACACTGCCTATACCATTTTCTGATTTGTAACATTTAGGATGGAATTGTTTTTCAATGATTTATCCTAGTGCTGTAATATTGTAATGGTTTTTTTTTACTTTTTCACTACTGTTCCACATGTAGAATTCAATTACTGTTGTATGTTGGCTTTAAGGTGCATTCATTTTTTTGCAACGGTGTGCAATAATAACAACAATATATTTGGATCATATTACATACTTAGACTTCAAGGAATTTATTTAATCATAATTGAATATAATCAGAATATTGTCTCAATATTCTATGCTATAATTCTGCACTATCAAGATTTTTGCAATTTAAAGTTTTAAATCAAAACTGTATTTTAATGATTCACACATACTTTTTTAACTTTGTTATAAAATTTTAAAATATCTCAACACTAAATAAGTACAGCTAACCCCTGTATAACACGGCACTTCTATAGCACGGATTCACTCTAACACGGTTGGAGAATTGGGAACATCCCCTGTATAACATGGTGGTTTTATAGCACGGGTTCACTCTAACATGGTTCAGGAATTGGGTAAACCCTCGTACAACATGAAATGTAATAAAGGGTGCATTCTTTTATACCTCTGCGTAACTCCACACAAGCATTCTAATTGTTTTCGTGGCTGCTTTGAATGCTCTCTCAATAATAATCCATTTAATGGTTAAATTTTACAATTGGGACCCTTCTTTTGCCTCTAAAAGCTCATTTTAGAATTATAGATTCTTCCATCACGATACTATTGATAGTGCGGGCGCCGCCATCTTTCTTTCGCCGTCGTTCCTAAATGCCTACAAACAGCGGCGCACTCCTGTTGCAGAGCAACCGCTATTAACGAACGCACCCAAAAACTGTTACCAGTTGATGATGCTCATGCCGAGATCATCATATAGGATGAATAATCCTCTGGTAAAGTATTTACTTAAATAATAAATGAGTATTTTACCTATGAAAAAAATGAATAATAAATCCGATTTAAATAAGGATTTAACAGTGTGTTTTTTAATTTTTGGAACCTAAACCCCCTTTTCGCACTAGTTCTTTGTTTCGTATAACACAGATTTGCGTAACACGGCAATTTTTTTGGAATGTAACTCCCGTGTTATATGGGGGTTACCTGTATAGAATTTTCAAATAATAAAATTACAATTGACTTGTTCTACGAAATAAGGTATCTAAATGCAATTAGATCCCTTTTCAGTTAACTATTTTATTACGCATATTGAATAGGATTTTATGGATATATATATATATGTTCCCTTTGCTTTAATACACTAAAGTATTTCAATAACTACATTTTAATTATTTTTAAATGCACTAAATACCAGTAATCTTTGTTTTTCAGATTGTTGTTTTGAAGGACAAGAGCATCATTATCGAATTGGAATAAGAATACATGAAATATTTAATATCTTTACTTTGAAATTGAATTTTTAATTGTAAATAAAGTTATTTTCAAATGAATAATATCTCAATTATTTATAATAGATTTTATATTTCTTGTTTAAAATGTTATAATTTGGATTTTCATTACAATTTCAAATAAGAAATTTCTGTATCTTTTGTGTTCTAAAGAGAATTATTTGAGATTTTTAGATTAATTCTGAATTGTTTGCAACTATGAAGAAACAAAATGGTATTTCCACAAGCTAAGTTTTAGTGTTTACTCTAATATGCAAAGAATGTCTGATTGCTTCTGAAAGAAATTTTTGTGTACAAAAGTATTATTTTAATTATATATTAACGTGGAAGTATGTACAGTTAAGGAATACAAAATAAATTAAAAAACTACACAGTCAAACTTTTTTTAGATGCCAATAAATTATGATAAATCAAATTGGTACTAAACTGAAGTACTGTACAGTACTTCAAACAGTAAGAATTATTATGTCTACTACACTGGTGTGTAATGCAAAATCATATATTTTTGTAATTCAAAGATACTGAAAAGTTTTCAATTTAATATTTATCTGTGCGTGAGTATTCTTTGGCGTTAAATAGAGATTTATTTGACTATAAAGTTAGTATTTTTATTTTGAATCATCTAAAGAGTCACCAGAAATGCAAAATTTGAATATTGATAACAATGACTCGGCCATGAACAAGTTTTTGATTATAGCCTACCATTTACTTTGATAGCATCTTATAAGTTAGTTGTAGTCTTATTAAATACGGTATTTTATGGAATTTTGTCTCTGCATGCTATGTAGAGCATTTACAGACACTTGTTATCTTCATATGCGTCTCTGGATACTCTCAACGCTTCTTTTTCAGTACAGTGATTCCTGTCTTCCTTCTGATTTAGGAGTTAAAGCAGCTTTTGGATTTTATCAAATTTAAATCACACTTTTATATAAAGCAAATATGTACACTTGATATTTTATGTTATTAACAAAATTAAGTAATTTTTACTTAATTTTGTTACATCATTAAATGTTACATTATTTTATAAAATTGATTTTATAGTTTTTCCACTATATACAGTAGAGTCTCGAAAACTCGGCCTAATGTGGACCGAAGGGTGGCCGAGTTTGTGAAAATGCCGGGTTATCGGGAATGGGGTTAAAAAAATAAGTACGAGTGTTTCCTCAGAAAATACTGTACTGTACTTGTATGTATTGATTACTTGAGAATACAGCAGAGAATAAACTGCCCAAATACCCTTAAACAAAGGAAAAGTACGTCCTTTATGAAGACATAGTGTCTTTACTACATGAAAATGAAAATTAATGAATACACTGTGTACAGTAATTTACCTGATAAGACAGACCTCAGAAAAATACTTTGAGGCATAAAGCTGTCTATAATGAAAATTAATTAACTAAGGATTTTTTTGCTCTGCCAGGGTGTGGCCGAGTTATCCGGACTGCCGGGTTATCGAGTGCCGAGTTTTTGAGACTATTACTTTCCCGGTTGTTAGGTGTACATAACAAAAGAAAGTAATGGAATCATGTCAAATTTGACCCTCTGAGTTTTTTTATTTACTTATTTTTTGCAAATCTCCACGTTTTGACCCAAAATAGTCTAAAAACAGCAAAATATTCCGTATGTGTGTGTTGGCGTGTATTTCGCTTAATATCTCAAGACGGGGTGAAGATATAGAAACGAAATTTGACAACGTAGCTTGTATATAAGGGGCATTGATGCTATTAAATTTTGGTTACAAAAGATCAAAGGGATGGAGAGATAGAGGGTGGTCACGTGATATATCTCGTGTGGGGTTTGACTATTAATGTTAACAAGAAAAATTGTGTTTTATAAAACTCATTTCTATCCTCTAAATTTAGTTTTTTTTTTATATTTTGTAATAATAAAACATATATAAAGTTTATTTTTATAACGAAATCTCATAACAGATTGCGCCACATACAATTATAGTTGTTTATTTTGATTTATAATACAAATGTTATTTTTAAAATAAAAGCCAGGAAAGTTACGTAACTCGTTGCTACATTTTTTTTACTGACTTCTTCGTTAAATGTTTAATTCATTTTCTTACATTCTAAACGCTTAAAGCATATTATGTTTTAAAAGAACTTTTGTACCAGCACTATTAGTATTTCATTAGGAAAGGGCAATTTTTTCTTCGGGGGTTGTTACTTTAAAATAAAAACAGATATAATAACGCATATCGCACAAATTCAATTAGGTAAGATTACATAACTAACGTAATTCTAAAGTAATCGCGCAACATTCTCCAAAAACGACAGCAGGCACGTGTCCTCTCTGAACCTGCCTCGAGCAGCGCCCATATTCTCAAAATGTGCCCGTGGATACGCCGCTGATTTCATATAATAATTAGCAATAATGGATTGGATGAATTTATATATATATATAATCGAGGATGTTTGTTTGTTTGTTCGCTATACACTCCTAGGACATTCAACCAATTGCTACGAAACTCGGTAGTTACGTTCAAATACTCATAACTTACATCATATACTGTACATCCCGCCGAAATATCGATTGCATTTCTATAAATCAATTTTTGTTTACAGTCGATTTTCTGAGTTACATGTAACGTCATCTATTGGCAAAAAAGTTAACGAAATAATTAACTAAATATAATTTTACAAAAAAGATATAATTTTAAAAATATTTTCACTGGATTACTGCGACAATGATATAGAGCGAAATAGATGCGCCATTACTCCATTACTGTGACAGGTAGCACATAGCACTTGCCTTCTATTTTTTTTTTAAACTCTCCGCCCTGTGGGCACTAAGTAGCCCCTTTTAGCAAGCCCATTATGGGTTTTACCAAGCCCACAATGGCGACGATGGTGAGTGACGGGATCGGCATATCCGAACAAATCCCCCCGAAAAATCCTGGGGATTTATCGTCTCGTCCGGATTCGAACCTGGGTCCCCAGAGCAGTAGCACTTGCCTGCGTGGATTACTAGTGTTTTGCCCTTGTACTGTACATCATACTTTTCCTGTTAGCAATAATAGAGTCGTGTCAGTTATATATCTAACTCCGTTTAAGGAAAAATTTTGAATCAAAGTAACGTTATTCCCGTTCTAAACCGGAGGTTCGTATATAGTTAATCTGGCCCTCCTGCTGTAAGCTTTCCACATCTGGTCTCGACTTTCATCTATCTAACTCCTTTCTCGAGATTAAGGAAGAACAAATAGATAGGGGAAGACAGTGGGAATTTATAGGTCAATTTGAAAAAATTGTAGCCCAATAATTTTCCTATAGACGCAATATTTACGAGAACACACTTCCCGCATAGTTTATACAATCTGTTGCCAAAAGTTTTAAAAAATTTATTATCACATAAAAGCAATTATTCTAGCATTTTTACAATATTCTTTTTATTTAAACAAGTCTTTCGGACGTTAAGGTTAACAACTTCAATCACATATAGGGCCATCACAACCCATCCAACACGGATCAGTTTTCAAATATTAATGAGTAATTAATGACTACTTTTGGTCGAATTGATTCCGACTCAGTTTCTTCTTTCTATTGGACCAGTGGTATGGTAGCATTCGAACAGGAAAATTTGATAATACTCATAGAAGGCTACCGGACAGTACAAAATATGATTTAAGTGTGTAAATTTGAAACCGTGTCTTTTCTTTTTCCTTTATTTCTTTAGCACGATGAAGTGCGATCAATCAAACACTAGGCAGTTTTCTATTATTTATGAACAACTATGCACGCATCAATCTTAAGAAATTATGTTAAAACATCACAAAAATCTGTCACTATGAAATGCAAAATATAAGTTAACTGAGGAGGGGCGTTGTGAGTCCGAACACCGTATTAACTGAAATTGAATAAATAAAGAATGGAAAACTGCCTAGTGTCTAATTGATCGCACTTCATCGTGCTAAAGAAATAAAGAATGATTTAAGTGGTTTCCCAGGGTGCCGAGTTTAAATATTTGGTCTATTTTTAGCGAAATTTAATTGGTTGGCAGATTACCGTTTGATATTCGGCTGCTAATTATACAGTTTATTAGAGTTGACATTAGGAAAAAATATGATATCTTAAAAAGTTTAAAACATATTTTCAATCGCTGTCTACTTGACCAATGAAATTGTGCCATTTCGTACCATCCGAGTATCACGATAAACGTGACAATGGTAGGATGAAATAACCAAACTCTTTATATGGTTTTTGTTTTAATGTTTGTTATATTATATTTGATTTATATAACTACAAAAGTTATCTTACGTAAGGGTTTATCACACCTAATGTCCAATCTAACACATTTTAGGGATTCTTTATTCCTCTACTATACACAATTTAAAACTGTATTTTATAGCAGAACTATTACTTATATGAAATAAAACAATATCAATTTTAAAAAAATAGAATTAGTTTTGAAGCAAGTTCCGAAAACACATACAGTATTTAAAATTGGAAATTCCCAATAATAATCCTGATAAACAGGTTTTTAAGTAAGTAATAGTATCTATAAAATAAGTATAATGAGTAAACGACACGTTAGTCTAAATGAAAAGATTTCCGAAAATTTTGACTAGAAAGGAAATGACGTCATTTAAGATGAAACAGTTCCTGTTATCAAAGTGAAGAAATTTGTCAGTTAAAGGTAAGATGGAGTTCCCGGTCATAACCTCCGAGTACGAGACAAAACGAGTTTCTTTCGCGCTTACGTACGAAACAATAGTTGACTTAAAGTTACTATAAGACACTTGGTAAGAATTCTTTTACATAGAATATATAGAGTTACGATTAAATGAAAAATTCGGACATTTAAGTATCGTAAAAACATTGTAATAATTGTTTTTAAAAATAACTGAAATTTTCATTCTATTTCGTGGATTGTCTCGCTTACTATAATCGTTNATACTTTAACTACGATTAACTATACTTTAACTAGTTACCGTATATTCATTTTTAATAGTAAAAATAATAGTAACTAATTACTGTATATTCATTTTTAGTTTATTTTTAATAGTAAAAATAATATTTTATAGATTTATCTAGAGTTTAAATTTTATTAATTCTTTTTAGAAATTTTGCACCTTCTCTATATATAGTTAGAGTTGGAGAATACGATGAGACTTTAATTGATAAATACGAAGACGATTTTGAAATCAAATATGTTAAAATTCATGAAAACTTCGAATCCGGTGCTGTAAATATTAATTGATTTAATTATTAAATTAAAATGAAAATGATCTTATAATTATACGGTTATTCCGATATTTAGGTGGTTATTTAGATAACGATATTGCGATGGTCAGAATCAAAGAAAAAATTGGCCACGGAATCACATTTAGCCCCTACGTAAGACCCATTTGTTTGCCTAGTTTAAATGCATCTTACGCTGCAGGTACGGTGTGTACCATATCCGGCTGGGGTAAAAATGAATTTACACGTGGTAAATATAATACATTTTCAAATAGTATTTTATAATACAATGTAATTACTTATTCATTCGAAATATTCCATGTTTCGTTCATAAAATAAGGATATTTTAAATAGAAATTATGATTTTTTAAATAGTTTTATGATATAATCTGTAACATTACTAGTTTTAATTAAACAATATTATTTAGTATCATTTGTGTATTTAACTTACATGAAATCGGTCAACCTTTTTCTTACAAAAGTTATTAGAAATTTATTTTATATAATATTATTAAGAAGTATTTACTTTTAAAACAATATCCTTACATTAATTTGAATAAAAAATGCGTTAATATGAATGGATACACAAATTATTTCATCAAACGTGGAAAAAATTTTAAGTTTATCTTCAGGTCTCCTTTATATCTGACAGCGAGGAGATGGCATTCGAATATTATTTCAATGGATTTAATAGTACAGCGCTTCGCAGATTTAGAAAATATCGATATGGTAGAATAGATTATGATGCCATTTTCTGCTCAAATCGAAAACGTCCACATCAACTTGCAAGATGAACTTATTGAATTATTGGCTGTCCTTGAAGAAAAATCGCTTTTTTAAAATTTAAATTTCAGCAATTTCTGGACGAATATAAACGTAACACAAAAATATACAAAACTTTTGTATATGGTAAATCCTTTCTCGCTGGCATTTCCAAATTCTTATATGGATGAAGCTAGTTTCAGCCATGATAATTCTATCTTAACCAAACAGAGAAATAACTCGAATGTGGAAATTTCGGGTGATTTAAACCTAAAACTTAGAAATTTTGAACCAAATATTGCTAATCTTGCTAAGGCCTCAAGCTCATCAGTCTCACTGATTGTTAATTACAAACATTATTATTAACATATATCTGCTAGTAAATAAATAAATAAATGCCGTTCATTTTTTTCTCAATTAGTATTTAATTTACTGGAAAGCGTCAATTATTTCTATAAAGTTCCCGTAATTCTTACAATGATGCGTTTTCTTTCTAGAAGTTTTATCTAAAATGTATAATTTTTCTCCGATTTCGCGAATTCTCTCGTTTAAACATTACAAATTATGTGTCGTTTCAAAAATTTTATCTATTGTATAAAACTATTATATTGTATAATATTGTATACTATTGTATAATATATGTATACTATTATATTGTATAAAACTATTGTATTAACTATTGTATAAAATTCTATCGGTATTTTTCTCAGTCTTGTTAATAAATGTCAAGGATTGCAATTAAATAATTTAATTTCTTTGAACATTTGGGATCTCACGATAAATTTATCAGTTAATTGCTTTGACGATAAAAGTCAAAGCAATAAACTCGAACAATTTCCCAAGTAAAATCTGGATCGGTTTCTAAGAAATTTTCGTGGGTGGTTGACCCGAATATGCCGTGTTCCATCCAAGGGCGTCTGCAAACAGGGGGCAGAAGGACAATTTCCCCTGTTGAGATTTTCTTATTCTTTCGTTTTTTCTTTGTTTTTCTCGAATAACAATTTCGTAAAGCCATAGTATTTTTATACCAGGAAGATTTGTTTTAATTAATGGTCGTTACGCAGCAGCGCGAAGAGATGGCTCCTTTAAACTGTATGCGGGTAGTGTACTCTTTGGAAAATCACGTTTTATAGTGTAGTTTGAGTTTTCACTTTTTTGCCTGCTTATTATCGTGAAGATAGAGGAAGAAATATAATTAGAAACAAATCGATTCAAAGAACATACTAAATCTATTGGTTAATTGATCCAAATCGTACGTTTTGTTCCTCTGAAACAAATCTTGCTACCGTCCTCGCAAGATTTCTTTCAGACCGATTAATTAACTACTGTTAATCAGATATTAATATTCCTATATTTAAATATATTGACATTTATATTTATGATTCTTTAACTTTTGTATATATTTTTACTAGGTAGGCTGTGCTAAAATTTGCTATTATAAAGTGCAAGATTCATTCATCGATATCCGTAGACCTACAACATACATTCATTTTATTATATATTATATACGAATATCTTTGAATATAATTTGCAATTGTATAGAAATTTTATTTTTGTGAAATGTATTATTCTGTTATTTTTTCAGAAATTTATAATTCAGAGTTGGACAGAATAATTCGGGGTGTCCCAAAAGTCTTCATATGCAGGACGCAAATCTTTATTTGCCGTTTAATGCAGACATTTTAAATATATGCTAATGATATCCGACTAATTTGAATATCATTTGCATATATTATTTAGTATTTAGTGTACGGGAGGCTACCAAATACGTCGGTACACACGAAAGTCTACGAAGTTCACTCGCATCCCGCATCCAGAAAAGGGAGCTTTGCTAATCTAAAGGATGTTTTGTGAATAAAGTTACATTATGCTAAAATGTGTTACTTTCCCGTACGCATAGAGACTTTTAAGACCCCCGTTAAATTAAAATAATATGAAATCATCACATCGACTTAGCATTCATTTAATATTTCTTTATAATACAGTGAGTACTGTATATGTGAAGTGAAAGAATTTTGTCAAACAACGTGCAGTTTGAACGTATATCGATGGATCGAGGTATTAGTTTCTTTGTATTACAATGCTAAATATTGTTTTTCGGTTATTTATTTATCTGTTATATTTATATTATTCTTCCCATTAAAACTGTACATTTTAATAGAACTATTCTCGTTCTCAAATAGGTAAATCTTAAAATGAAAATGAATCTTTCTTAACATATTTCATTATACCGTGTAAAATGTAAAATATTTCGTATAAAGTAGACTTAATATAAACTTATAAGAAATCTAATTTATTATTAGTAAAAAGTAACTAAAAATATGTAGTTTGGCTATAAATATGGAGTTATAAATATATGCTAAATCATAAATGTACTATTCGCTATACACTCCTAGGACATTCAACCAATTGNTGAGGCCAATGACAAGGTTCAGTTTTATACAAAATACGTCCGTAATGATAAATTCTCTAACCTAGAAAAAATGGCGACGAGCGTTACATCCGTATCTTTGTGAATTTTTTTCTCAAAATTAAGTGAAAATAGTGAATAGCAAGTTTCACATTAAAATACGTACAAAACGCCGTATAATTGTTGTATCAATAAATAACACGGTGTATTTTTATTTTGGTTTTGGCCCAGTAAACCTCGTAACAGCCGGGAAAGTTACGCAACTCGCTGCTAGAACTATTAAAAAGTAAAATAATATAGACTTAACACAGATATAATTCGACTTACTTACGGGGATTAAAAGGTGTTAATCCTCCTCCCGGGCTTACTCGGTGCAATTAATGTCAGTAAATGCATTAATTTCTATCCGTAGTAAAGTCTTTTCTTAACTTCTTATAAATCACACAATTTTAAACGAGTAAAACGCGCGAAAATATATCGAAACCAGACGATAAGCGACTCGTTACGTCAGTTGCTATGGAAACGAAAGTTCGTCCGCTACTGTTATTTTAGCGCTTTCTTTTTTTTTTATTAGTTAAAATTTTTAAAGCAATCTTTTCGTCTATTATTTAAATAGTATAAAAACATTTAATAAATATAAAAATTGAATTTACCTGGAATTTTTATATTAAAATGTCGTCGTCGTACGTCGCTCGCTACCTTGCCGATATTGTCGGATTGTATGAAAGATACTGATATTCTATGAATAATTCTGTAAATGGATTGTCTTCGACCCGTAATTTGCCTAGTTTTCGATATAATTATGGAAATTATCTATAAATAATTAGTAAATACGTTAATTATACGTAGATTATACGGATCGAATCTTTTTAATCCGGCATTTTGTGATCCGGCGCGATTTGGATCCGTCGCCCGTTTACTTAATTGTAGGAAAATTAATTAAGGGAAAGACGAGGTAGAAATTCCATTTTGCTGCATCCCCTTTTATTTCTAACCTAACGTAACTTTACCTAACGAGTTTAGACACCGCCTACGTTGAATATACTGTAACCGTGAAGATCCTCCCGACTTCTGGTGTAATCTGAGCTACGGGAACTGGAAATATTTTTGGTTTTAGGCTTTATATTACCGGAAACAATAAAAAAAATCTTCGGAAGAGTTAATAGTTATATTGTTTCCCGAAACTTGGCTCTCCCATCGATAATACTGCGATATGTGTATGGAATAAACATTGCTAGGCTTTCCTTGCGGGTCTTGAAGGTCAATTTCTGTAACCTTGAAGGCCAACCTGTATTAATCTTGTAGTACTTGTAGATGCATAGAATTCTATACGTAAATTATAAACATATATTTTATAATTTATATATTGCAGCCTATCTGTAGATCTATATATAGAGATACGGTATATACAGAATTTACACGAATATCTGTAAATGTTATACGTACAGTATACAGTTCTTTGTATTTTCTAAGGAGTCGGAGAAAACTTAGGGGCTCATAATTGTATCTACCCCTACAAATTAATGTTTTTTACTAACAAAAAATGAAATATTCAAGATCGTGGCTGCCATTTATCAATAAAGAAACATTTTACGTAATCCAGCAACTTTCCCGGCAACATTTAAAACCGCTTATCTGCCGGCATCTGTTAGGATATTTTACTTAAAAAGCTTTTTATATTTTTAATTATTATAAAATGGCAAAAAGCTTAATTTTCAGGGTAAGGACGGGTTATATTTTTTAAAAAATTGTAAATGTTATTAACTAGTAAAATCGTTATTAAGTGCGACCCTATTCGAGATACGACACAGCATTCCACTTTACCTCCCCACTCCGTCGACCTTTAATTACCAAAATTTAATAACATCAATTCCCCTAATACACAAACCTCCCTGCAAAATTTCAAAAATTTTCGACAAAAAGCGTAGGAGTTATTAAACTTCAAAGAGGGTGAACAAAATCGTGCCTATCACACGCACTAATATCCACGAATACAGGAAAAAACTCCCGAATTTTTTTGCTTTCTGTATTCTGTATTTGTACCTAAATACACGAGGTAGCATTACTATAGACGATGACTTTTACTATAAATTTTCTCGCTGTTATTATTAGTTTAATAGTATAATAGTCATCGAAGGTTGTTTTTAATACGGTTTTTCTATTAACATTTTAGTTTCGCCCATTTTGATGGGTGCCGAAGTACCGATTATACCGACGTGGAAATGTAAAAGTGAGATGATTTATGGTTCAAAGATAAAAGAAGGAATGTTCTGTGCCGGTCATTTGGGAGGCGGAATGGATGCCTGTAAAGGTGATAGTGGAGGTCCCATGGCTTGTAATGAAAATGGTAAGTTGTTATTTTCTAAAGATTAAAATTGTATAATGTAAGTCATAGATTAAATTAAAAATTTTCATTTGATATTTTATTGTAGGGAGATATTTTTTATACGGGATCATTAGTTGGGGATTTGACTGCGCTCAGCCTAATAGACCCGGAGTTTATGTAAAAGTTAGCCATTATTTAGATTGGATCTACAGAATATTGGACAGTGATTATTAAATCGTAGAAATATTTTCTCTGATAATAATTTATTGAATACTTTTGTATGCTACTTTAAATTCGTTTTTCGATTTATAATACAAATTTACATTAATCTTGAATCGTTAACTATAATATACTTTTTTGTTTAATAAGTAATTATATAATAGTTAACAATATTATTAATTTTTAAAATATTTATACATTTTTAATTAATTAAGTTAGTGCATATTCGAACACGCAACTGGACACAAAAAACTGTGTAATGGGAATTTTGAGTTGTGCGATGAGAATCCCAAATCTGTGCAGTAATTTATTGTCCGATTCAGGATTTCATAAGTATTTCTTTATTCTGGTTATATTAAAGTTTAAATATTTACCTAAATTACAGTGTGTACAGTATATTATTCGGCCTACAAAAAAAGAGCGACCGAAGGAATGTTTGATAGGATTTATCATTTGAATCGAATATATACAATGGATACTTTTTATGCAGCCGCAATATCAATATTATCATTTTAAATTAACACTAGGATTTATCGGCTTGGCCAAAACAAAACTGATATTTGTACGGTAAAGAAAAACCTTAGAATAAGACCCGGGTCAAATATTTATTGGAAAAATTTTAATATGGCAAACTGATCTACATATATTTATACTTGCAATTTCTAAGAGGTTCTTCTTCACGCCGGAGCATAGTAACTACGTTCGTGTGTGTACAAGGGTGACTGAAAAATTGTAACTCGGTGGTCGGTGGATTATGTTTTCCATTAAATATAGAGGTTTCAGATTTGGCAAATAAAATATAGTTTATTTCACTTGATAGACAAAATAAAGCATTTAGTGTATAGTGGTTTTTTCCTAGTGGTTTAGTTATGTAATTTACGGGTTAAATCTTATCTGTAGATGTTATAAGTATGGAATGTGTGGATATAATTGAAATTAACTTTAGTTCGTTTCATATAAATATTAAATTTTTAAATATTTATTTTTATTAAATGAACTTCTGTTATTGATATTATGTTGTAATTTAATTCCTCGGTTGTAATATCGGTTCAAGATACGCTACTGGTCAACAATATGTAAAATTATAATGTATGGCTTCTTAACATTCGTTATAATTTACGAGTCTTTTCTCCTCGAGCATGTGTTAATATAGACTATTATTCGCATTTGAATTAAATTATGATCGAATAATTTGTTTCTTTTCTTCATCAGTGATTGTATTTGAACCATAGAATCCAAAGAAGTTTTTACTGCGAAGTTTTTGATATAAATAAATTAAAGCTAAAGGTACGGGCGTCACGATAGATCCAGCTACAGGAACTACGCTAGCAATATCTGAATCCGGTTGAGACAATGAAGAATTCAACAAAACGTAAGCGACACCCGTATTTTGAATACCCGTTTCCACCATGACGGCTATTCTATCCTCCATGGGTAATCCGGCAGCGTAAGCTGCCACGGAAGCAATGGCGAATCCAGTCCAAACATTTATGATTGCAGCCCCGACGATCTTCCAGCTGAACAGTTTGAACATATACAAATTAGCGTAGATACCAAACATCACGATGAAAATTATAATGACGCCCGACACTATGGCAAGAATTCTCTTGAGAAATTTCCCCACACGTGGGAAAAACTTCTGTATTAAAAGGCCAATTCCTAATGGCACTATCATAGATATTAGCGTAACGCATATATTTCTGAACGGTCCACTAACGTTAGTTGTTACAAACAGGGATCTTCCTAATGTAAACAGCCACAAAGGCATCATTCCTGTAAGGAAATAGAATACATTAATCAGAATGAACGACTTGTATTTCCACATTTTCAAATGCATTTACCAAAAATTTCATATGTTTTTTAATAGTAAAAAGATTCCTATATTTGTCTTTATATGATATTTAGATAACGATATTG